GTTCTCTGACTACCTCCGTGCCGCTCGTCCCCTTGTCCCTCGGGTCCTTGCCTCTCTTATTACCGACCCTGCTATTCCTGTCTCGCGCCTTGACGCGCTTGTCGCTGCTGTCGCTGACTTCGCCTCTACCCGCCGCCTTGACTACGCTACCGCTCTGGTCTCTGACCCTGCCCGTCCTCCGTCCGTCAGGGGTGCTCCTGCCCTTGGCAGTGACGTCCTAGAGGACAGGCAGTACGAGCTTGCTTTCCTTTCCAAGGCTGCTCCCCATCTCCGCTCCATGCTGTTAGTCCCTGAGGGTGACCCAGACGCCTTCGACATCCCGACCCCTCGCACCTACGCTGAGGCCACCTCGGGACCTTGGGCCTCTCAGTGGATAGATGCCATGGAGCAGGAGATGGCATCTTGGAGGTCCACCGGCACTTACGTCGACGCAGTTCCCCCGCCTGGGGTGAACGTAGTCGATGGTCGGTGGCTCTTCAAGGTGAAGCGCCCCCCTGGAGAGCCGCCTGTCTTCAAGGCGCGCTACGTGGCCAGAGGTTTCAGTCAGCGCGAGGGGGTTGACTTCTTCTAGACCTTCGCCCCGACCCCGAAGATGACCACTCTTCGGGCACTGCTACACGTAGCAGCACAGCGCGACTACGAGCTTCACTCCCTCGACTTCTCTACTGCCTTTCTTCAGGGCAGCCTACACGAGCAGGTCTACCTGCGCCGACCACAGGGCTGCACTGGTACCTTCCCCCCTGGGACCCAGTGGCTTCTCAGGCGCCCGGTCTACGGCCTGCGTCAGGCTCCTCGCGAGTGGCACGACACGCTGCGGGCCACGTTAGCAGACCTGCAGTTCTTTCCGTCCTTTGCTGACCCCTCGCTGTTTGTGCGTTCCGGCCAGACTCCATTCTACATCCTTGTCTACGTAGACGATCTGGTCTTCGCTACTGCTGACAGGGACGCACTGGCCTCTGTGAAGGCCGAGCTTCTGAAGAGACACACCTGCACTGACCTTGGAGAGCTGCGTCGCTATCTTGGCCTGCAGATCTCTAGGGACAAAGCAGCACGCACCATCACTCTGACACAGTCACACTTGGTGCGTCAGGTCCTTCAGAGGTTCGGTCTTCAGTTCTCCTCCGCACAACCCACACCTCTACCTGTAGACCATGGGCTCTCCGCTCGCGTTCCTCAGGAGCCAATAGAGCCCAGTGGCCCCTACGTAGAGCTGGTGGGTTGCCTCATGTACCTGATGACTTGCACTCGCCCAGATCTCGCATACCCTCTCAGCATCCTGGCTCGCTTTGTGGCTACAGGCAGACACCGACCTCAGCACTGGTCTGCCGCTAAGAGGGTTTTGCGTTATCTTGCTAGTACATCGGGCATGGGGTAAGTGCTAGGAGGACACATGCCAGTGGTCGTTACTGGGCACACAGACGCTTCTTGGGCAGACGACTCTGAGACGCTCAGGTCGTCGCAGGGCTACTGTTTTAGCCTTGGTTCGGGTGCTATCTCTTGGAGATCCACTCGCTCGTCGTCTGTGGCTCAGTCTAGCTGTGAGGCTGAGATCTACGCTGGTGCCATGGCGGCACAGGAGCTCCGTTGACTGACCTTCTTGCTCACAGACTTAGGTGAGCGGCCTAGCTCTGCCCCGGTCCTTTACGCTGACAACAGGGCCATGATACTCCTGTGTCAGGAGCCTCGGCTTGAGGGCAGAGCGAAGCATATCCAGCTGCGGTACTTCCTCCTACGCGAGCTATAGCAGCGCCGCCAGGCCCGCGTAGTTCACTTGGCCTCATGTGCCAATACAGCTGATATCTTTACTAAGGCGCTTGCGCCTAAAGATCATCAGCGGCACTGTGTACAGCTTGGTCTTGTTCCTGTAGCTACTCACCTGTTAGGATCCTGATTGTGTACTCTCTATTATATATGCCTGTCAGACTGGCCTTGTGGCCTTACCTCTAGTGGCTGGACTAGTAGTGCCGCCCTGGCTTGCTTTAGTTTTGTTTGTATTCTTGATGACTGGTCTCCAGACCCCTGCCTTAGTGGTTGGACTAGTAGTGCCCCCCTGAGCTGTTTGCTTCTTGCTTAGCTTCACCCCTTGTCTAGCCTAGGGGGTGTGTCAACTTATACATATTAGCTATGTAGAAGTTATAAGCTAGACTGAGGTATGCTTCTAGTAAGTACAACCAACTAGTAATTGTTCTAGGTTTCCACTTCTAGTCAATCATTCAGTTCTTACTTTAACATATGCAACACTTTCAGGCTAGCATTGGTTATCGCACATTACACCTACTCCTAGTCTACTCCTACTCCTCCTCCCCTTCCTCCTCCTCCTCCTCATCCTCCTCGTTCTCCTCATCCTCCTCCTCCTCCTCATCCTCTGCTGCCCCACCCTCAGCGCCTACCGAGTTGTCTCCAGAGAAGCCATCCGCCCCGAACTCGTCATCAATATCCACCTCTGTCTCTCGCTTGTTGCGCATGTGCCGGAGGGTCAGATAGTCTTCACTGCCGTCGAGCGAGTTGCTGATGCCACACGTCTTGAAAGCCCTCTGAATGAGGGCGGCAGGGATGGCCCTCCACGCCTTGGAGACCCACTTCAGGATCTCCTCCGGTGGAGGCTTCTTGAGGTTTCCTGCGCCAGCAAACATGAGTAACCACTCAGTTAGAACCATGTTTACAGAAAACAAACTGTTAAAAACAAGCCACAAGATACTCACCCTTAGCGGTCTTGGAATACATCCCCACGGAGTCAAACCACTCCTGGTAGTATTGCCTCACCCGAGCCTTGAAAGCTCGGTTGACGCATACGTCCAGGGGCTGCACGATGGAAGCGCAGCCCGCGGGGATGAATCCGGGGACAATAGCAAGCTTCCCATAGCATTCCTTCACTTCAGGCGTCAGGTGACCATGGTAGGAGTCAAGAATCAGTAGGGCAGAGCGCGCACGCAAACCAAATCTTGGGCGGATGAAGGGCTCGACGGCGTTTTCTAGCCAGGTCTTCACACCGTCCGCATCCATCCAGCCATTGGGCTGTGCCGCAACGACGAAATCTGCATAAAGACAGAGTATACGCTTGGTTAACAAGATTGAAAAAAAAAATTTAAAAAACACACACACAAAAGCCGCGAAACCAAAACTTACCAGCGGAGAAATCCCCTTGAGGGACGGTCTTCCTCTTAAAGTAGACCCACGGCTTCAGCTTCTCCCCCCCTGTCGTGCACGCGAGCATAACAGTGACTCGCTCCTTCTCGTAGCCGGCGGAGCGGATAGGGACGGAGTTGACGCCGACCTGCTCGACGGTGCGGTCAGCCGGCATCTCCAACCACAGTGGAGTTTGGTCGGCGTTGATTATCCAGCGCTCTTCAATGCCGTACATCCTCTGCACCTCCCTGCAGAATCGCCAGAAGTTTTCGACCTCTGCCGAGCAACCTGTGGGAGGGCAGTATGGGAATTCGAAAAAAACACGACTTAGTACAACATTCGTATGGAACGACAGTGTGAACTCGAATAAGAGAACCGTACATGAGCGGAAAGAAGAGACAGAAACGGATGCAATGACGGTGTACTTACTATCGGTCATTTTCTGACCGACTTTCGTCTTGGCGCGAACCGACAGATTCCACCTTGACCGGAATCGTTCGGTCCAGCGGTAGGAGCCCTGCCATTTGACATCGGGGTGAAGAACCTTCATTAACTCCCGTGACCACTTCTGCAGCCTTGACACGGGACCGGAGTTCCCACAGCGCGTGCGGTGAGAAGCTTCGAATACACCTGTGTCTCCATATCGGCGTACCAAGAAGACCTCCCCTGCCCATGCAGCCTCTTACGGCAGCCGTGGGCAGCTCGTAGCTCCTCCTCGTGCTTCGACCAGTCGTTGATGCGGCGGCGCGAGATTCCAGACTCTCGTGCGACTTCATTCTTCTTCTTTACCTCTTTCAGTCAGTCTAGCCAAAATAGCTTCTCCTTCGCCGTGTAGGACTTTCGCTTCCTCCCGTTCATCCGATTCCTGGGGGATGGGGGGCAGGCATCTCGATTCACAGAAGAAGGATGTGGCGGTTTTCTGCCCTCGGGAAACGACGGCACAGGGAGCTTCTCGGGAAGACCATCCCGAGACCAGTACTCGGCTCCATCATCAGCATCCGCGTCGTGCTCGGGCCAGTCATCGCCGTGCAGAATCCCCCAATCACGAGCAGCTGGTGGCGCAGCGGAAGAGCTAGCGTCGGGCTTTGGATGGGCATTGATGTCGTCTTGCGGAATTTTCTCGCCCGACAGCAGCAGAGTCAGGACCGGCAGTCCGTACAGGTACGGAGGAGCGGGTGGCGCTGGCGGGGCAGGAGGAGTGGGAGGAGCCGGCGGAGCAGGAGGGGCAGGGGGAGCCGGAGGAGCGGGAGGTGCGGGAGGAGCTGGACGATGCGCGTGGGCTCGCCTGGTCTACCAAAAAGGATCGAAATGCCAGACACGGGAAAGCCAGCCATAGCTCCCGCAAGGGGAGCTGGTGCTGCTTCAGCGTTCACATCGATAGGAAATGAAATACTGAACCCCTCGACGAGGTACCCCCTCCTGGAAGGCGGCTTGGGTTCCTCGTCGTGGTCAGATTCCTCGTCGATGAAAGGGGTGGAGGAAGGAATATTTTCTGCAAGATTCCTGTTCAGATTCCTGGTACCCCAAGCCACGTCGCTGCCCTGGTGCGGATGTTGCAGGAACGTGGTCCCCAACACCACCGAACCATGTGTGCTGGCACAGCACGGCACCAGGATTGCTTGTGATAGGGCCGCATGGCAGCTTTCTTGCCTTGCTGTGCTGGTCGCACATTCAAGCCTAGTTTCCGTGCATGTTCTCGGCGTGTCCCCTCTGGAACCACGCCCAATAGCCTACAAACATCAAGACCTACAGTTTTTCATTTTTTAAAAAATATTATGTAAAATTCGTTATAAACGCCCATGGGCGTATATTTTTTATTCAATTAAACACCCCCCCTTAATTAAAACCAGTCCTATAAACGCCCATAGGGGCGTCTATCTGGGTGATTACGGTACGAGAGAAAAGAGAAGCACTAGGAGAGAGAAAGAGATACAAGAAAGGGGGGGTGTATCCCCTCTAGAGTAGGATCCAGGAATGTAGCACACCTACCAAGCCTAAACAAAAATATATATGTAATATATAATTTGACACTAACTTCGCCCCGCCCTCTTGAACTGTCCCACATGGAACCAGATGGGAGGGAGTGACTTCACCCGTAGAGAGCCCAAACCGAATACACTCATACGCATCCAAATTACGCCACACCCCCTTGCTGCTGCTGTATCAGGAGCTGCCTGCTCTCTACACCTGCATCTTGAGAATCCTATCGCCCTATCACCAGCCTCTCAAGCAGCGAAGGCGCTTTCCCCTTGGCGCCTGCCACCTCTCCCGTGCCCTCCTTGTCCGTTGGAGCCCCTTCCGAGTCAGTTGCCGTGCTGTCTCCCTGCCGCCCTCCCCTGTCTTCCCTCCCAGAATGCCCACGGCTGTCTCTGCTTCCTTTAGACGTCGCCTGCTTGGCGTTACCGCTAATCGGGCCTGTGTTAGATGGGAGGCCGCCTCCCCTGCCGCTGCTGCTGCTAGCGCCCCCGCCGTCAGCACCACCAGTGCTGTTTCTGCCGGTGCTGCTGCTGCTGCTGGCGCCAGTTACTTCAGTCCTGGCCACCTCCCATTGCCTGTCAGCACCCTCCCTGCTGCTCTTGCTGCTGCTCTTCTTCCCCAGCTCCCTCCCACTGCCCCCACCAGAGCCAGAGGACCTGGACGAATCGCCGGGCGCGAAGTCAAACGGCATCGAGTGCCGCCGAGCCTGGTTGCTGCCACTCTTATCCTCGCTGCTAGCTGCTTCACTACGTTTTTTTAGCGCAGGAGGGTCGATGAGGGTGTACTTCTTCTTGCTTGTGGGGGTGGTGGGGAGGGCCATGGAGGGCGGGGAGGTGGGACTGGTGCAGGCTGGGCTATGGAGTGAGGTATTAGCGACACTATGGCCGGCAGCAGCAGCAACAGAAGCAGCAGTAGCAGCGAGTGAGGAAGAACGGGGTGGAGTCGAGGGGTTGGTGGCATGACTGTTCCTGGAAAGCGTAACAAGGCTGATGGAATCGTCAGTGAGGGGAAGCCCACGCGTGTTGCCTGCACTGCTCTTGGTGCGTGTGGTGGTGGCGCCACTGCTCGTACTACTGCCAGCGCTGCCATCGCTGGTCATCCCCGAGTTCCCCCCAAGTCGCCCCTTTGACCGGCCTATTGCTGCAGACGCTGTTTTCGGCCGCTGCTGCTCGCTCTGTCTCTGCCCCTTCGCCTTCGCCTTCCCCTGCTGCTGCTGCTGCTGCTGCTGCAGCTGCTCTTGCTCCCTCAGGTAGTGCTCGCTCCTCGGCTTCCTCCCCTCAATCCAGCTGCCACCACCAAATCCTCGGGTACGACCTCCCCCAGCCACACCTGCTGCAAGAGCAGCAGCAGCAGCACCGCCACTCCCCCCTGTGACGCTGCTTTGGTCTGCTCGTGTGCCATCAGCTGCAAAGCTGTGTGTGCCCCGGGAGGGGGTGCGGGGCGAGGGGAGCATGGAGGAGAGCGCGGAGAGCGAGGGCAGGGCGGAGGGGCGGGAGAAGGCGAAGCGAGGCGAGCACGCAGGAGGCACACCGCTCAGACGCTGCTCGTCTGGGAGGTACCGGTGCTCGTGCTCCTGCTCCTGCTCCTGCTCCTGCTGCTGCTGCTGCTGTTGCTGCTGCTGCTGGTGTTCCTGGTGGTGTGGCTTGGACGAGTGGGAGCGGAAGAAGGGGCTCCTGGGCATGTTGCTGCTACCCATGCTGCCCCTCTCCCTGCTGCCGCTGCTCTTGCTGCCAGTGAGGGCGCCGAGGGAGGCGGAGAGCAGCGAGCGCGGCGTGAAGATGCTGCGGCGAGGGGTGAGAGGGGTTGAGGGGGTGAGCGGGGTTGACGGAGTGAGCGGTAACCTGGGGGTGAGAGGTGCGCGGGCAGAGGGGGAGGGCGAGGAGGAGGTGGGGGAGTGGGAGGGCGAGGGGGAAACGGTGGGCGGCACGTCGATGACGAGGACGTTGGCGGGGTGGAATCGGAAGCTCCTCGCCTCGTCTAGCGCCTTCACCCCAATGCTGCCCCCTCCATGCCCATGTGCCTCACGTGCCGTGCTCGCCTCATGCATCCCGCTGCTCTGGCTCCACCCCGTCAGCTTGAACGACCCCAGGTGCAGCGATGCGTGCAGCGCTGCCTTCCTGCCACCCAGCTCCCCACCTTCACACGCGGGCACAACCCCCTCCTCCACAGCCCCCTCCTCCTCCTCCTTGCTCTCCTCGTTGCCGCTACCATCCCCCACACTGCTAGAAGCAGCCTGCCATGCCTCTCTATCCGCACCCCTGGTGCCATCCATCGCTGCTGCCTCCACCACGTCCTCTGCCCTCGCACTTCCCTCCTCACCTTCCACGTCACCACCTGCCAGGTCACTATCAGCCACGGGGGCTGCTTCTGCCAGCAAGCCTGTGACTGCTGCAATTACCCTTGTAGCCTCGTGCTCTGACCCCTCTTCTACCCGCGTGGGCCCTGCACAAAGCAGCGCCTCCTGCCCCGCCTCCTCCTGCTCCTCCGCCTCCTCTTGCTGCTGCTGCTCTGATTGTCTGTGCTGCCCTGCCTGCTGCTGCCCCTCACATTCCTGCTGCTGTTGAGAATCACCCTCTGCAGCACGCGTGCATGCATGGTGTGGTGCCAGCCCCACCAGCAGCATCTCATCCTCCACAGGCACCATCCCGTACAGCACCACCTCCCCCTCCTCATCTCCTCCCTCCTCCCCACCCCCGCCCTCCTTATATCCACCCTCCTGTGCCTCACCATCTCGCACCCACCTCTCTTGTGCACCACTCTGCACCCCCATGCTGCCCTCCATGTCTGCCCCGCCACCATCACCATTAGCAGCAGCATCAGCATTAGCATCAGCATCGGCAGCAGCAGCAGCAGCGTGAGAGGGGGCACTGGCGGATGGCGGCAGCACGTGGTTGGCTGTGGCTGGCGATGCGGCGCGCAGCGAAGAATCAGGTCTGCCGGCGACAAAGCCCGACTGCGACTCGTTCATCGCCTGCACGGCTGAAGCTTCCTGCACTTGCTGCTGTGCGGTGCTGGGGGCGTGCAGGTCAAGGCTGAAGTCCGAGGAGGAAGCACAGCTGCTGGACGCCGTGTGGCATGGCATGGCGCCACCAGCACCAGCAGTAGCAGCAGAAGCAGAAGCAGCAGCAGCAGCAGCCGGGGGCACCGGTTCGTCCGCAGCTGAGGCGCGGCAGCCATGGGCATCTGAGAGCACGGAATCCGCTCCCGTGCTGCCCTTCCTCCCCTTCTCTCCAACTCTCAGTCGTCTGCCTCCCCCCTCCCTCACACCCTTCCCGCTCTCTGTTGCACCAACAACACACTTCTTCTCCCCCCTCTTCTCATCCTTCTCCTCCTTATGTTTCGACCTTTTCTCATGATCCCCTTTCTTCTCCCCGTGTTTCTCCCTTTCCCGACGCTGCGTTGTTGTCCCCCCATCCCCCCTCTCGTTTTCATGCTTCTTCTCCCCATGCCCCTCCTTCTGCCGTTCGTCAGCCCCCTTCTTCTCCCCATGCCCCTCCTTCTGCCGTTCGTCAGCCCCCTTCTTCTCCCTGTGCCTGCCTCTCCCCCCGTTGTGCTCCTTCCCCTCCTCCTTCTCCCGCCGCTTCTCCCCATGCTGCTTCTTCTCCTCACCCTTGGCTCGTTTGCTCTCCCCAACGCCACCTCCCTCCAACTTCCCGCACTCCTGCTGCTCCCCCCTCTCCTTCTCGTTCCCATGCTTCTTCCTGCCATGCTTTCCCCCCCTCATCTCCCTGTGAGCGGCCTCATCACCACCCCCCTCGCCGCCTGTAAGCCCCTCAACAGGCGGGGCATCCTCACCGTCTCCCTTCACCCCTCGCGGGCTCTTAGCGACCTTCTTTGCGCCTTTCACGACTTCCTTGCCACTCTTATGCTCCAGGTGGGGACTGCCTACTTGCTCCTCTGTACCCTTCGTGCCTCTAGGGCTCTTTTCGGGCCTCCTTGGGCTCTTTCCAGAACGCATCGAGCTGCTAGGCTCTGTCGTCCTGCCCTCCCCATGCTCCTTCTCATGCCTCCTCGCACGCCCCTTCCTCTGCTTGCTTGCGTTAGATCCCCTATCCTCCCCTGCCGCATCCACTAATGTCCCCTTGCTGGTCTTTACCAATCCAGCAGCCCGCTCAGGCTCCTTGTTGCTAGCCGCTGCGCGCGTGTGCACCTCGCCTCCACTCTCATGCCCCTCACGTTCACTATGCTGCTCCCCATGCTCCAAAAACTCCTCCCCATCTGCACTTGCTCTCCCTGCCCGCGCATCCCCCCCTCTTTGCTCCCTGCTCCCATCCATCCACTCCTGCTCCCCATCTCCCCCCTCACCCTCCTCCCCCTCTCCCTTCGTCCTCTGCCCTCCCTTCTTCCCCACCTCCCTCTCCTTGCCTTTCTTCACCCTCTCCCCCTCTCCCCGCCGCTGCTTCTCCCCTCTCCTGCTCCCACTCTTCTCCTCTCCCTCCTCAACACTCTGCTGCCTGCCACTCATGTCACTCTCCCCGCTGCCACTCGCTCGTCTACTCCGCACGCCGCTCCCGTTGCTTCGCCCACTCCCCTGGTCCTCGCTGCTGCGCCCACTGCCCTCCCCTCCACCCGCGCCCAGCACACCCACACTGCTATTATCTACCACCTCCACTGACTCACAAGGTAACCCCCCCATTCGCTGCTGCACCACTGGCATGGCCGAGGAAAGGTCGCAGGCAGGCAAGGCAGACGCCTTGGCTGCATCCGCCATTGCGGGCGTGCCAACTTGGTGGGGCGCGCTCCCACGTGCCACCCCGTCTAGAAACACAGGCTCGGGGGAGGACGCATGCTGCAGCCGGCTGGCTGACCGGAGCCCAGCGTCGTCTGCCCCCCTCACATGCCGGCCCGGCATGGAGGGGTGCGGTGCAAACGCGGGGCTTCCAGCCGCAGCAGCAGGGACCACCGAGGCAGCAGCAGCAGCAGCAGCAACGGAGAGAGCAGAGGGTGGCAAGCTGCGTGTCTTCACAAGGGCTCTTGCCTGCCTGTGCAGTGATGGCGACCCCTTGTGCTGCTGCTGCTGCTGCTGCTGCTGCTGCCGTGGGATGTGGTGCAGAGACTGCTGTTGATGCTGGGAGGTGGAGTGCATAGGGTGAGAGGAGTGGTCGGAAGGCGCAGCTGGCGAGTGAGTGAGTCCACGAAGAGCAGCGGGCGATGGCACGCTGCTGCTGCGACTCAGCCGCCTTCTGCTGCCGCCACTGGGCGCCACAACCGCCATTTCCCCCTTGGTCTCCCCACCACCACCACCTCCACCACCACCACCACCACCTCCACCTCCACCTCCACCCAGCAGCTCTGCCTCCACTGGACCCTGCTGCATGTGCCCATGCACCCGCAAATGCTCATGCTTCCCATTCTTCCCATTCTTCTCCGGCTCATTCAACTCCCTCTGCTGCTGCTCATTCTCCTTCTCGTCCTTACTCTCCATCTGCCCCTGCTGCCCTAGCTCGGGGTTTCCAGGCTGCACTTCGTGCGACAGGCTTGGACCCCCCTGCGTCGGTTTCTTAGGAACCTCAAACACCCACTGCCCTTGCCCCAGTTGCTGCTTCTGCCACCCTGATGCCCCAGTTACTTCACCTCCCCCTGCACGCCCCCCCTCATGCCCCATATTACCACCCCTATCACCACTCTGCACCCCTGCCTCCTCATCGTTCCTCACTGTACTCTGCCCCTCACTTACCCCCTCATCCCCCATCCCCTCATTCCCCTGCTTTTCCACCTCCCCCCCCAAAGAACCCCCACACTCCGTGCCGCTGCTGCTGTCCCTTCGTCCCTTTTCCTCGACTCCCGTCTCCTCCCTTCCCCCCACCCCCTGCACCTCCCCCGCCCCACTCCTCTCCCCCTCACCAGCACCAGCAGCCCTCACAGCGCCCCTCTCACTCCTCTTCGGCCCCTTTTCCAGCGCAGCCCTGGTGCCAACACTGGACGCAGTGGCACCTTTCTCCTCCTGCTTCCCCAACCCCTCTCCACCCATTGCCACTCCCTCTCCCTCTCCCCTTCCTCGTCCCTCCCTCGGATCACCTCCTCTTTCCTGCTCCGCACTCCCTTCCGCATCCCCTCGTCCCTTCTCTCTCCCAACCTCCCTCAGCTTCCTCTCCCCTATTTCCTCCCTCCTCACCGTATGTACTTCCTCCTGCTTCCCCTCCTTCGCCACATTCCTGCCTCCCCTCCCCTCCCCCACCTTCACCCCATCCTTCACCCCATCCTTCACCCCCTCCCCCCCCTCCTCGCCCTCCTCCTCCCCTTCTTCCACCACGGGCGTGGCCCCCCCGGCCCCCCATCGCTGGCGGAACGCCCTCTCGCGCAGGCGGCTGCCCTGCAGCCCCTTCAGTCCGTACCGAGCGCGCCTCTCCCCGCCCGCATCCATGCCGCTTGGGCCCCCCACACTCGCACTGCGCCACCCACCCACTGCTGCACCAGCGGCAGCAGCAGCAGCCCCTTTTCCCTGCACCGCTTCACTCTTCATCCGCGTTCCCCCTGGGCTCTCCTCCGTGCCCCCGCCCAGCTCCTTCCCCCCCGACACCTTCCTCAGCAGCCCGCCCTTGAGAAGGCCCTCGCGCCACCCCTCCCTCCTCTCCACCGCTATCCCCAGCTCGCTCGCGCTGAACACCTCGCCGCCTCCCAGACTCAGATTCCGAACCATCCGCCTCTCTGGACCACCAAGCCCTGACCTACGTTCCGAGCCTCCTGCCGAGCCGGGCGTTGCAGGTGCGGCATCGGCAGCGGCGAGGCTGAGGCCTGAGGAGGACCACTGGCTGAAGCTCTTCCTGTGGCGCCCCCTGTCCTCCTGCAGACTCGAGTGCCGCACAAACCGCCGCTCGCCCACCCCCCCTGCCCCCCCAGCTCCCTCCGCCCCCCCTGCTCTGCCTGCCCCCAACTCCCTGCTACCCAGCATCCCTGTGGCGCTCATTAGCCTCCCAGCCAATGGGGAGCGAGCACTTGGACTGGCGGGCGGGGGGGTTCTGGGGTTAAAATCGCTCCCTGCTGCGGACATGGCAGCGTCCCACTGGCCACTGCTCCTTCTGGAGATCCTCTCCTCTGGCAGACTCATATTCTTCTGGAAGACCCGTGCTGACCGACTGCTGCTGCTGCCGCCGCTGGTGATGCCAACGCTGCTGACAGCACTGGCCGTACCACCGGTGGAAGTGGTGGAGGGGCTGATGGGAGGGGCTGCTTTACTGCCGCCTCTGCTGCTGCCGCGACTCCCTGTCGACCCTGACGGCGGCAACCCTGGCCGGCCAGAAAACCACCCTCCCAACCCCCCTCCTCCTCCTCCCCCTCCCGCTCCTCCTCCTCCCCGCCGTCCTCCTTCCACACCCCTGCCGTCGTTCCCTCCCCCGCCTCCACTGCCCCATTGGCTGTCCGCACCCCTCCGCTGCTCGCCCCTCTCCTGTAGACTCAAGTGCCGCATAAACTGCCTCCCTCCCATGCCCCTCCCGCCACCATCCCCCACGCGCGCCGTCGCTTCACCCCCGTCTCCTCTCCTCTCGCCCTCCCTATCCCCTGCGCCCCCCTGCCTCACTGCCTGCACAGTGCCTGCCCCCGGGGACCCCCACACGCTGCTCTGCCTGCCCGCCCTCTCCTGCTGCCAGCTCGCATGCTTCACCAGCGCCCGGCCCCCCATGGCCCCGCTGCTGCTCATGCCCCTGCCGCCACCGCCAACAGCAGCAGCAGCACCACCACCACCAGCAACACCAGAGCTAACCGCAGCAGCAAGGGTCGAGCCCCCAATGTCTTTCCCTCGCCTGCTGCCACTGTGGCTGTCCGCGTCCCCCGAGTGCCTCGCGCTGTTGTTGCCGCTGCCACTGCCGCCGCCGCTGCCACTGCTGCACGACTCAGACCATCCCGACTCGCTGCGCCGCTCAGGCACCCGCTCCAACCCTGCTCCCAAGCCTCGGATCCGAACGAGAGGCTTGGCGCCTCCTATTCTTCTAGGGCCTCTATCCGGGCGGCCCACGCCCCCCCCTGCTGCGAGTGCCTCCTGCATGCGCGCCTGCTCCTGCTGCAGCTGCCGCCGCTTGCGTCGCCAGCTCACCAAAAACGAGCTCGACGCCCGCACGTCCCCTTCCCCGCCGTCCCCCCCCCCCCCGCCCCCTCTCCCCCTGCTCCCCCTCCTGCGGACGACCCCTCCCCTGCCCTGCGCTCCCCCTGCCCTGCCGCCAGCCCTCGGCGGCCGAATGCAGGGTCTGCTGTCTGCGGCCGTCGGGAGGAAGGCGTGGTGGGCACACTCCCACACTCACTCCACTCCCCTCCCCCTCCCCCTCCTGCACTCCCCCGTGACATACTCCTCCCCCATCCCCCTCCCCCGCCTCCGCCGCCCCCCCTGTCCCCTCGGAAGCTGCTCATGACGCTCTCCTCGTCCCACCAGCTGCCCACCTCGTCCCGCCCCTCCTCCCTCCCCATCTCGCTCCACCCATCCTCGCTCCACCACCCGTCCATGTCCGTCTGCACCGACCCTACGCTCGTGGCCCGGCCAAGCCGGCGCTTCATGCTCTTCCAAGAGCCCAGGCCACCACCCGAGCGGCCTATACCCGAGCCTATCCCCGGGCCTCCAGCAGTGCTGGCAGCAGTGGCAGGGGCGCCGAGGCTAGAGGTCCAGCTACTGCCGCCGCCAGCAGCAGCGTCGCCGGCACCGGTGACACTGCGGGACGGCGTAAGGAAGGACTTGGGCAGCATGGAGGGCGCCTGGCCGCTGCCCAGGGCGTCGTCGTACTCGGGACTGGAGAGGAAGCCATGGTCCGTGGTGCTCCTGCTCAAAGGGAACGTGCGCGGCACCATCGACTGCCGCCCCTTGCCCTGCCTCCTGCCCTTGCTGCCCTTGCCATCACTGCTGCCGCTGCCGCCACTGCTGCTGGTGCTGGAGTCGCTGAGTGAGTCGAAGTCAGGGAGGGCGGATGAGGCAAGTGGTGCAGCAGAGCGCGGTGTGGCAGGCACGGACGACGCAGGGGCAGAGGAAGCAGGGGCAGAGGAAGCAGGGGCAGAGGAAGCAGGGGCATCAGTAGGTGCTGCAGGGAGAGACGCTGGTTTCTTCCCCACGATTCTCTCCCACGCGGCCGCTGCTCCGGCTGCTCTCCTGGCGCTGTCCCCTTTCACATACCCCTCACTGCTCTCCCCGCTCCCATTCTCTCCTCCCTTTGCCATCCCCCTCTCCCTCCCACTCCCTCGCTCCCTCCCACTCCCCCTCTCCTTCCCACTCCCCCTCTCCTTCCCACTCCCGCTCTCCCTCCCACTCCCCTTACCCTCCTCACTTCTCCTTTCGCCCCGCCCATTCCCACTCTGCCCGGACCCTAATCCCCCCCGCCCGCCCGCCACCTGCGCCCTCCGCTTCCTCAGCACCTCCTCTCGCCTCCTCCGCTCCTCCTCCGTCTCTCCCTCGCTAGAGTCACTCTCGCTAGCGTCACCAAGAGCATCTGGACCCTCCACGTCACCTGGCATGTGCCTCCCTGCCGCTGCACCCCTCCCACTGTTATCTACCCGTTGCTGCCCGTCGCTACCCCTACTTGCCCCTCCCGCCATGCGACCGCTCTGGCGCCCTTGGTCGGTGCCCTCCAGAGCCAGCCCCCAGTCGTCGTCATCGTCATCAAGCCACTCCGTTCCTTCCTCTCTCACCCATATGTCGCACCCTGCTCCGCCTTCTGCACGTGCACCCATGCTGCCTTCCGCCTCTACCTCCTCCTCTCCGCCTCTTGACCTGCCCTCTCGCGCACCCCCCGTGCTGCTCTGCCTCCACTCCCCCCTCACACGCCGTTGCCCGCGCCCTTGCTGCTGCTGCTGCTGCTGCGGTTTCGCACGGCCTGCGGCATTACTAGCGCCTTCCTTGTACGCATAGCTGCTATCGTTTGATATGACTCTAGGGATCGAACCTGCACCAGTAATTCCTGTTCCCCCATGCGTCCCTGTAACAGGAGACGTCACCGTGGCGTAACTGGCTTCGCTGTGTACAATCACACTCCCTGCCTCGCTCCACGCCCCTCCTGTTGTCACAGTGCCCGTTTCGCTCCATATAATCACACTCCCTCCCTCACTCGGAGGCAGGAAACTGCTCTCACTGCCCTCCCCATCCCCCTCACTCTCCCCCCACTCCATCTCCCCCGCGCGACCCCAATCGCCCTCCACCTCTTGCCCTCCCCCAGCCCTCGCCACCCCCCAGCCCTCCCCCGCATTCGCCCCGTCCTCCTCCTCCCCACTTCCCAGAAACTTCCCTTTCACCCGTCCCAAGATCCTAGAGAGGCGTTTCTTGACGTGCTTCCGCAAGCCAATGTGGGGGATGGGGGAAGCTGACGTGGCAACGCCTGATTGATCGACTGCCATCTCATCGTAATTTTTCCGATCCTGGACTTCCACTAGACCAGGCTCAGGAATAGACGAGGCATGGTGAGAGTTCACCGAGCTTGTGCTCTCGGTTCGGCTGTGCGACCGAGGCACGCGCCACCACGACTGGGGCAGGCTCGACAACGACCCTGCGGAGTCAATCCTGGCGAGGTCAGCGGTTTCAACGGATAAGACATTCCGGCCTTCAGGGGACTTCCCCGAACTCCCTCGTTTGGACTCGGCACGCGTGCTGCCATGTGGGGAGAGCGGCGGCTCGTCGCTGTCGAGCGACGCGTCGCTCCACGACTGCGACTTCTTCCGCCTCCCCGCCTTACTCCTCCCCTCGCCTCCCTTCCCCATTCTTTCTTTTCCTCCGCCTCTCCCATCGTGCGTTCGTCGGCCAGATTCCGGCTTCTCGCTGTCCCCGTGACGGCTCGATGCTCTATTCGCTAACGACCGCCGGCTACTTCCGTCAGTCCACCCTGCGAGCTCCTCCTCGTCGTCCGACGACAGCAGCCCGCTGTCTGCTGGGAAGTTCCGGCCGGCAACTATACCGGTCGGCGTCGGGCGTGACGCTTGGTTGGACGACATTCCGAATGCGACGACGTGCGAAACATGCCTAAGAATACAGAGACGTTGCCGAGAAGCACTTCCGATCACTACTCCCTCAAGACTGACGACAACAACACATGGCGATGGTTCTCAATCCACCTATGGATAAAGACCTAGATGAGATGGAATGGAAGCGCGGAGACGAGACGAGAATCGACAAATGTGAGAGCACTCAACTCACCGCTGTTGCTGCCATGCTGGGCCGAAGGAGAACGCCGGTTGATCCAGGCGAGGCGAGGCGAGGGACGGCGGTTTCGTGAGGTGGAGGGCGAGCGGGTGACGACGAGGCAGCAGATTGGGAACGGGCAGAAGAAAAAGACTCGTTCGGGGCGCTGCAGCATCATTTGCGCTGGTGGCTCCTGCAAATCATTGATTGCTGCTCTCCAGGGTGCGGGCGTCGCGATTGGCTTGCCCTACTCGCGAAGCAGCGAAACAGTGGACTCTGTTTGGAAGAACGTGACTCATGCGATGCCTGTGATTGGTTGGGCTGCTCCTCGCCAGTAACGCACATCCACAGCGGTTTCACTTGCTTAGAGAGTGGCTCTATCCGTTTCCTAATGTCTCTCTTGTCGTTATCCTTACAAAGCTTGTTATAGATCCCAAGTCTAGATCCCATTGTAGACTATAGATCCTTCTAAACAAAGTCTTAGAGCCAAGTTGTGGCATCTGCTACTGCTTCGTATGAACCAGCTGATTTCATATGCACTTCAATGTCTCTTGGAAGCGATGCTTGTGTTATCCCTTTTCAACTATGCTTCTGTCGCAAAATGGATAGGGGTTTTGTTTTTTTTATAGTAGATTAATGGTAAATAATTGAAATTATTCACTACTGATTGTAGGCATGTGAATAGGTCATTAGTGCATAGCTTATGGAATACAAAGCGCTAAACTTATGTAAGATGTGTGCTGTAGATAACTCTTCATCTTCTCCACACCACCAGATCATTCTGCTGCGCCCAAGATTCCCGGGTGTGATCTCACCTGATTTGCTATGGCCCGCCAGGTCATCCCGGACCAGAGGCAAAGCTGTGCCACGCCACGACCTGCGGTAAAATCAAACAATTCCCTAGGAGTCTTTGCATCAAGCGGCGGTAAGCTAGTGCCTAGCGAGGACGTCGGGTCCGTTACAGAACGTGCAGTGCTCGCAGCCAATCGTGGGACTGGAAGGCCAAGATTGTTACCAGACGGGCTTGTGGTGGCCGACCCTTCACAGCATCGCCTCTCACGGCCACCAGGCGGATGCTTGTTGAGCCAAGAGGGGTCTCCAGAATACCAGACACAAGAACTAGGGATACTCTTGCAGTCAGAAATAAGCAGAGGACTAGTTTGTGTCTTGTGCTACAGGCCTGCTTCTGGCGTTGCTCCTTACAGCAGCGGCAGTACCCTAGGGTTCACCGCCTCTTACGGTGATCAGACATTCCAACGACAGAGCCTTTATTAACTGTCGACAGCTTTTTTCCTGGAGTACATTGATACAATACCGACACCATCTGCCATATTTCTTATTTCCCTTGACGAGCCATTACCCCGTAAAGATGTGGAAGTTCTGCGTTACGAGGCTTGCGACGACCGCATCTAGATCGCCGGCTTCGCGATCATCGCTGCATCCCGACAATGCTCGCGTTGCTCTTTATCTAACTCCCAAAGTCGTCCCTTACCTGAGCCAGATCCACCGTCCATTCTCGTCTGACAGCTCAGAAGATAAGGTCCGTCGTGCAGAACCCGACGCGTAACGTCATCGCAATGAGTTAGGATCTGTGACTTCCATTTGGCTTGACGCCTGCGCTCCTTCGACTTTTCTCATGTGAAACAAGATCCTTTTCAGGGACAAGCTTTCACCGAATGAGAGCGTGGTTCGGTTTCCTTTCTTCCTTCCATGTCTAATATTTGCACAGCTATTCAACAAGCTTCTGGTGGCCAATCGCGGCGAGATCGCGTGTCGCATTCTGCGCACGGCGAAGAAGCTGGGCATCCCCACGGTGGCCATCTACTCCGACACAGACATCGAGGCCCCCCACGTCCGCCTCGCCGACGAGGCCGTCCACGTCGTGCGTCCCTCGTCCCCCGCCCTCCTTCCTCTACGCACCACGAACGCATGGATCTGCATACAGTAGCGTGTAGAGAGGTTGCCCCGGGTCCGCTGAAACGCATCGTGCACCTGGTCCTGGTTCCGCTCCCTGCATTGGGCTGACTCATCTGCCGCATCCATACAGCCAGCATTTGTGATCCTCAGCATCTCTGTTCCCATCACTCCCCCATCCATTCCCCCGGGTTGCTCCCTGCTGTGCGGCGGGCGTGCACTGCAGGGCCCATCGCCGGCGAACGAGAGCTACCGCAACGTGGACCGAGTCATGGACGCCGTTGTCAAGGCGGGCGCCGACGCCGTGAGTGCTTGCGCCGCTCTGCTGCCTTCTCATGGTATCAGTACACCGAATTGCACCAACCTGAAGCGGCTCCCAAACATCGTTGAACTGGGTTCTTTGAGGTTGTAAGATACTGCTGGACAACAGTGGATAAGTGATTCCATTCCTAAGCTTAGATATCACTCTCCGCGCTCCGCTCCCCCCTCCCTGGTGCGCGCAGGTGCATCCGGGGTACAGCTTTCTGTCGGAGAAGCCCGAGTTCGCGGAGAAGCTCAAGGCGCAGGGCGTCACGTTCGTGGGGCCCACGCCCGAGGTCATGCGCCTCATGACCGACAAGGTGGGTGTCGCATGCCGCAAGAAAAACAACACAGGTCCGAGGCAAAGGCTCACCCTCTGGGTGTGCACGATTCTCACGCGACATGCTGTCCTTGCCTTGCCTGAACTTCGGATCTGAAGACGCTTGCACGCTCCTTGTCCCCCCTCCCCCGTTTTCCTCCCTCCCCAGACTGCGAGCAAGCACGCGGCGGTGGCGGCGGGGCTGCAAATACTGCCCATAGGGGAGTCCATCGCCAGCGACGACGACCACGCCGTCGAACTCGGTAAGCACCCTCCGCTCTCGCCGCCTCCTTCCTCCTCCTCGCCTTCCAAGTGGAAGCTCATACATCTACGCCTGATGCTGCTACCATCTTTCGACTCATCATGTGACGAATTTATCCCTTTGTGGTCTCCTCTTCCCCCCCCCCGCAAACCCCCCAACACCCACCCAACCCCCCGCCCCCCCGTATTGTGTCCGCCCCTTCCATCCACCGACAGCCAAGAAGGTGGGCTTCCCCGTGGTGCTCAAGTCACTGGATCGCGGCCAGTCCCACGTGCTGCGCATCGCCACGTATGCTCGCCGCCCCTGCTCCTCGCTTTTCCATGCGCCTCATAACAGTCCTCGCCTTCCTCGTATTATTTGCTAGTCCCCAGACTGAGTGTAAACTCCGTTGCCTCCTGCTGCTCCATGTGCTCCTTCCAAGCTCTACCCCAGGCTTTCACACTAGTCCACCGCTGCCTCTCACTTGTTCTCACACCCTCTCTGCCCTGCTCACTTGACTCCGTTGACCCGCGTTGGCGTGCGTTGACTGGTGCAGGAACGCGCGCGAGGTGCGAGACCACTACGACCAGTTTCAGCAGGACCTGTCGTTCAAATCGCCGGGCGCGCACAGCCAAGTCATCGTCGAACAGTGAGCAATGGGGGGGGGAGGGGGGGACAGGCAGGGCGAGAGCGGCAGAGTTGAGGGGGGAGTGGGGGAGGGAAGAGGGGTGCTGGGAGGGTGGTTGGTGAGCGAAGAGGAAGGGTTGTGCACACAGCGAGGTGGCGCAGGTGCAGTGCGGGTGGGGTTGGTGAGGGTGGGGTTGGTGAGGGTGGGGTTGGTGAGGGTGGGGTTGGTGAGGGTGGGGTTGGTGAGGGTGGGGTTGGTGAGGGTGGGGTTGCGATGATCATGGTAGAGGGGGGCCATCGCCTTGGTGAGGGAATGATTCGTCTGTGGTAATGGGCTCGCATGGCATGCTGGCGTGTGACATTGAACGGTAGCCACAAGCGGAGTAGGGCGAGATGAAGGCGAGCATCTAAGCGGCCAGAATCGCCACGCTAACCTGCTGCCTTGTGCTTCGCTCTTACTGCCTTTCTGCCTCCCCTTGCCCACCCCCAACCCCACCCTCATGCCCATGCCCATGCCCATGCCCATGCCCATGGCCGTGTGCATGCGTGCAGCTATTTGGAGAAGGCGCGGCTGATCGAGATCCAGCTCGTGGCGGACAAGCACGGCACCATGGTGGGTGCCACTGTCACGCACTGCTCTGCCATGCGCGTCTCTTGGCTTCCTCTCATTGTCGTCGTCCCTTAATGCGTCCTCTCCCTCGTCGCCACCACCAACCCTGGATCGCTCCTGCATCCTCGCCCCCTCTGCACCATGAACCCTCAAACTCCCCCCCCCCCCTTCCCCCCTCTCCCGTGGCAGCTGTGGTTCCCTGAGCGCGAGGCGTCCATCCAGAGACGATACCAGAAGGTACGCTCACCTGCTCCCCGCCCTTCCTGCCCGTACTTCCATTCCGTTCTGCCCCACTTTCGCCTCTACACCTCCAATCTCCGTGACCTTCCCATCCGCCCATCGCCCTTTCCCTCCCCTTGTGTCGGTTACCTGCTTGAGCGTTCTCTGCCACGTGCGTCTTCACTCCCTCCCCTCTCTCCCCCGTCCCCTCCCCAGCTGATCGACGAGTCCCCCAGCACGTTTGTGGATGCGGCGACACGCAAGGCGCTGGTGGAGCAGTCGGTGGCGCTGGCCAAGTCCATCAACTACGACACCACCGGTGGGTCGCATGTGGGGCGCACGCATGGCACACGGGCGCTCACACTCACGGCGTTCACATAACGCGTGCGTGAGGGCGAGTTCACCAACCCACATCGTTCATTCGACTTGGTTTGCACACCGCCTCATACACCTGCATGCACGGTTCCGTTTATGCTCGCGCATTCATGCATCCGTGTGTGTGTGTGTGTGTGTGTGTGTGTGTGCGCGCGCGCGCGCGCTCGCGTGCGTATGTGTGTGCATGCGTGTATGAGTGCGTGGGTGCGTGCGTGCACACCAGGCACGGTGGAGTTCCTACTGAGTCAGAACAAGGACATCTACTTCCGAGGCATGAGCACGCGCCTGCATGTGAGTGCGCCCTGCTGCTGTCCTCTGACCATTCGTTGCCGCTCTCCTTATCACGCTCTGGCATGCATGTCCTCGATGGCACTCGAGCGCGGGCAGCAGGGTGAGAAGAGCAGAGTGGCATCAGAGAGTGGTGCCAAGGCAAGGCCCCCACCCTCCCTCCCCACCTCACACACCCCCCCTCCCCCACTCTCCCTGGTGTGCGTGGCAGGCAGGGCATGTGGCGTCGGAGTGTGTGACGGGTGTGGACATCGTGGAGCTCATGCTGCGCGCCGCAGCCGGCCAGAAGCTCGCCGTGCCGCAGGAGAGAATCGCCCAGCCCAACGGCTGGGCCATTGGCGCGCGCATCTACAGCGATGACCCACGCAAGAACTTCCTCCCGTAGGGCCTTGCGCTCACTCACACACATGCACACACTCACATTCACTCCCTCACTCGCACACCCACAACCACACACACACAGACTCCACGCACACACCCACTCACTGCCATACCAGTGGGCCTCTCGCTCACACCCAAACCCACACCCACACCCACACCCACGCCCACGCCCACGCCCACACGCACACCCACACCCACACCCACACCCACACCCACACTCACACCCACACACCCACCCACACCCACACCCACACCCACACCCACGCCCACGCCCACAGTCGCACCTACAGCGCTGTGCTGCTGCTGCCTCACATGCTCCCTCCCGCTCATGACACCATCCCTGATCGCTCCGTGCCATACAAGTGCGCCTCTCGCTCCCACTGCCCATGTTCTGGTCCTGCCCTATTGATCCACGGCCCTTATCCCCCCACCGCATCACCTCCTCGCCGTCACCTCTGGCCGTTGATGCAGGTCGAGTGGCAAGATCATTCGGTACATAGAGCCCGCCATGCAGTGCTCTAACGAGGGCATCCTACGCATTGACTCTGGTGTCGCTGAGGGTGACGTCATCACCTTCTACTACCACCCCCTCATGTCCAAGGTAATCTCTAGTGCCAACCCCTCATGTCCAAGCCCCATTCACGGGCTACCCATTCACGGATTCACTAAGTATGGGGTTTGAACGAGATTCCTCTGATTCCCGTGCTCCCCGTGATCCCCGTGCTCCCCGTGCTCCCCGTGCTCCCCGTGCTCCCCGTGCTCCCCGTGCTCCCCGTGCTCCCCGTGCTCCCTTGTGCGTGCTGTGCCCCGTGTGCTGCCATCCCTGTCAGGTGACCACATGGGCGCCCACTCGCAACGCAGCCATTGACAAGATGGAGGTCAGTGCGCTGCCCTCCCCCCCTGCCTCCCCCCCTGCCTCTTACCCTGCTTCTTGCCCTGCTGTGCGCTCTGCCGTGCTGCTTCTTGTCCCTCTGCTTTTGACTCGATCTTCCATTTGCTGCCCGCTCCTCCCTGCCAGACATGGTTAGATACTCGCTTATGCTTATACGGTCCCCATGCCATGCCACCCCACCCCATCCCACCCCACCACACCCCACTGCACCCCTCTGCACCGCGCAGTTCGCTCTGGACCGGCACTACATCGAGGGCGTGGAGAGCAACATCCCCTTCCTGCGCTGCATCGTCTCGCACCCGGTCAGTGCACGCCCTGCCCTGCCTGCACTCCATCCTAAACTCCACCACCGCGCAACCCTGGCTGGTGGCGGGCGCATTTATCCCTGTGTCCATAGCCTTGAGTCTGTCGATTGCATGGCCTTGTCTCCCCAGCGCCAGATCCGTCTGACTTGCGCAAGTCCCACCCACATTGGCTGCTTAACCGCTGTGTGCTTGCTATGCCCCCCTAGGCGTTCGCTTCCGGCAACATTACAACCAACTTCATCGCTGACAACTTCCCCGCGGGCTTCTACAACGACCATCTCTCGCCCCGGGAAGAGGTGCGCCGCCGCTCCCTGCTGTGTCCACTAACAGGAGCATTCAATCATGTTTTCCAATAAGTCTGTAAGAAGCAGCAGCGGAGTGAATCACCACTCGGCACCACTGACTGTCCTCTGTTACCCTCGTCTCGCTCTCCCCCCCCCACACCCCACTCCCTCTTCACTCCTGCCCCACTCCGTTTTCCAGAGCGAGCTGGCGGGCATCTCGGCGTTCCTGCACGTGATCAAGGGCGTGCGGGCGTCCGCCACGGTGACCTCGGACCACCCGGCAGCGGACGCCACGGCGGCAGCGGCGGCGGCAACGCTGTCGCAGAAGGCGGTGACGGAGCACCTGGTGGTGGCCATGGATGGCCAGCAGGTGCCCGTCACGCTCACGCACTGGCCCTCCGACAAACACCCCGTGCTGCGCCGTGCTGTGAGTGCCCCCCCCACCTCACCACTACGCCACCTCAACCCCTCACCACCTCACGTCACCGTACAGTGTCGTGGTTTTCAGCCATCCATTGCATTCTGTGCTGCCTCGCATGTGTGTGTGTGTGTTGGGGCACGGCTTGGCTTGTGTTGGGCGCATGGCGTGCATTGGGCGCTTGTGGGGGCGAGCAGAAGGTGGACGTGGCGGGGGAGACGATGGAGGTGGAGGAGCGGGACCCCATCCTCAGCGGCAAGGGGCTCATCCATGTCAGCCTGGACGGCAAGGACGCCACCGTCAGCATCCGAGAGGAGCGGCCGAGGGGCTTCTCCATGCTGTACCATGGGTGCATCAAGGTGCGCCGCGGCCACTCCAACACCACCCTCCCACCACCCTCCCACCACCCTCCCTACCCCCCTTGCTTCGTGCTTCCATATGCCTGTTCATATCAGCCATTCCGTTCTCCTCTCTCTGCGCTTCATTCACTCCCTCCCATCGCATCCCCTCTTCCCGCTCCTCCGCTTTCTTGCCTCATTGTTCCCCCAACCAAGGCCCCTCCCTCCACCGACAGTCCTCTCCCTGTGCCCATCTCGTGTCTCCCTGTGCCCATCTCGTGTCTCCCTGTTCCCCCAACCCCCCTGTGCGGGGCGGGCAGGACGAGGTGTTGGTGCAGCGGGCGGACATCGCGCCGCTGCAGAAGTTCATGCCCAAGAAGAAGGCCGAGGACGTCGCTCACGTGAGACCTTCAACCTCCCGTTCTCTTTGCCACAACCAACCTCATGCCCCGCTGTAACTTGGATGCATGCGCCTCGTCTTGTCTCCAGCAGTAGTCCTCCTGAAAGCTGACTTCTTTCCGGTGACCCTCATTTGCCTTGCTCATTCCTACACGCCCCTCCCCTCCCCCCGTGATTACATCTGTGCCACCACAGCTCATCCGCACGCCCATGCCGGGCTCCGTGGTGAAGATCTCCGTGCGCTACAAGCAGAAGGTAAGCCACCGTCACTGCCATACTGTCTCCTGCTGGAGCCCTGCACAGTTGCACCGCCTGTGCCTCAGGGGCCCTCGTTTCTGCCACATGATGTGTGCAAGCACTGACTCATGTCTCGCCCCATCATGTCTGCCTCGCACTGCCCCCCATCCCATGCCATCCCATGCCATCCCATCAGGTGCTGCCTGGGGACGAGCTGGTGACCATAGAGGCGATGAAGATGCGTAATGTGATCCGCGCGGAGGAGGCGGGCATCATCCGCGGCATCTACGTGAAGGAGGGGCAGACCGTCAAGGTGGGCGAGATGCTGCTCGACCTCGACGTCTAGCGCTGCTCCGAGGACCTTCACTCCACCATTTCCTTTACAGGGCTTGTCATAATATTACTCTAAAAATCCTGGCTCTACCAAAGCCACCCTAGCAATTTTGATTTATTCAGTGGCAGAACAGAACACCTGTCAATGGCAACATCAATTGTTAGTAATGCTGCCAGTCTGTACTTCCACCTGCCTGTGCTGCCTCTGCTGGATCCAAAATAACAGCTGTTTGACAGCTACTGGCACTATTTCTCCCCTGGGGGAGCACAACAAAGCAGTGGAGAACCTTACGCCCAATGCGCAAGTGACTAGCACAACAGCCCCTCTTCATCCATTTACTATCGGGACGAAAGCACCCAGCAGCAACTGGCGAGTTCCTCAAGTTGCTGTTTTCCTGCAAGTCTAGCAGCACAGAGCGCCGCATCGCCCGCAACACCATGGGGCGTGGAGCAGAGGCGCTAGTGGCGGAAGTGGCGCACGTTGGTGAACACCATGGCCACTCCGTACTTGTTGCAGCAGTCGATGGCGTCCTGGTCGCGCACGCTGCCGCCCGGCTGGATGATCACCGCCACGCCCGCCTGGCATGCCGCCTCCACCGCATCGCCCCACGCTGGCGGGGGAGAGGGGGGTGGGGGGGAGGGAGTGAGTGGCATGCAAGACAAAACGACAGGCACGAGATTTGGGGCAGAGAGGAGGAAATGGCGAGCTGTGGGCTTCATGTGACACGACAACGCCACTCGGTGCCACGTGTGTCGCCCCCAGGCATCTCACCGAAGGGAAAGAAGGCATCGCTGGCGACAGCAGCGCCCTTGGCCTCCTCTCCCGCCTTCTCCAGCGCTATCTGCCCACTCTTCACCCGGTTCGGCTGCCCGCTGCCCATGCCCAGCAGCCGCCCGTCCTGTGTGCAGGAGGTGGTGAGAGGGAAGAGGGGCACGGAATGAAGGTGAGAAGCACGGCAGCGGGGACGAAAAATCTGAGAAAAAGTCTGGGGGCACATTAAAGAATGGTGGCGAGGGGTGAGCAAATTGAATAGAGCAAGGAAATGAGGCCCGGGAGTGGCACCTTGGCGATGGTGATGGCGTTGCTCTTCACGTGCTTCACCACACGCCACGCGAACCGCGCGTTCTCAAGGTCTTGGTCTGTCGGCTGCTTCTTGGTGACCACGGTGAGCGTGAGCTCACTGGCATCGATGTCATCCGAGTCCTGCAGCAGCCACCCGCCGCCCACCTGGCGCAGCGACCGCCTGCCCTTGCTGCTCGGCTTCGCCTCTAAGATCCGGAGCGCCTTGCTCTTGCCCTTGAGCACGGCGAGCCCCTCCTCCGTGTACTCCGGCGCCACCACGATCTCGTAGAACATGCGCGTCTCGCCGTCCGTCGGCGACCGGAACTCCCTCAGCTCGCGTGCCAGCGCTGCGGTGACGGGCGTGTTGAACGCCACGATGCCGCCAAACGCACTCACGGGGTCGGCTCGCACGGCTGCACGGTAGGCTTCAAGCAGAGATGCCTCTTGCTCGTCCGCAGGGGCGGAGGCGGGGAGCATGACGGTGGCGGCGCCGCAGGGGTTGGTGTGCTTGACGATGACGCAGGCCGGGGTGGGCATCTCCCACACACACTGCCACGCCGCGTCTGCATCCAGATAGTTGTTGTAGGACATCTCCTGGGAGAGGAGAGAGAGAGGGATGAGGTGATGCGGGAGATGGAGAGGGGGATGAGAGGAGGGAGTGTGGTACGGAATGGGTTGGAGAAGATGTGACAAGGTGACTACCCTCTTGCTTCCTATCTGCCACCCACTCTTCTCCTTCTCCCTTGCATGCACTTTCCCCTGCGACCAACTCACCTTCCCATGCTGCTCATTGCCCCTCCCACCTGCCCACACCTCCCCCTCACCTTCCCATGGTGCTGCACGGCGGTGCCGATGCCGCCCTTGCCGCGCTCCCCCAGCGACTCATCCGTGTAGAAGGCAGCCCGCTGGTGCGGGTTCTCGCCGTACCGCAGCACAGACGCCAGGGCCAGGGGCACCGACAGGGCGGGCGGGGGGGTGAATGCTGCACGTGGTGGGTGGGGGGTGAACAGGGGGGGGGGGGGGGGGGATTGGTGCTAGTGTGTTTATGCTCATGTGTGTGATTTTGTATGTGCATGCGGGGCATTCGCCTGCAAGCGTATGTTCCGTATGTGTGTGACATGATGTGAGTACATGTCTGCTCACACATGTGCCCGTGCAAGCCCGTGCATGCACGACGCACCATCGGTCTCGGTGTGGGCGTGCGGCCACAGCCACTCCGCCACAGCAGCGTCGTACGACGCCGTGTGTTGAAACGCCTTCCACGCCAGCCGCCGCCGCATGTCCGCCTCGCCCTCTGCGCCCTCCTTCTCCCCTCTCAGCGCGGCGAGCAGCGGTGAGTAGTCGGCGGGGTCCACCACCACCCACACATTCTCGTGGTTCTGCAGGGGGGCACACGGGGGCAGGGGGGAGGGGAGAGGCAGCAGAGGAAGTATGAGATAGTGTGCGAGGAGGATGGACTCAACATGCGAAGCCCTTCCTCTCTACTCCAAACCCCACTGCCGCCCCACCTTCTCCTCCCCTCTCCCCCCCCAACACCCTAAACCCCTCTCCCTCCCCCATGCACCCGTCTCCCCCCCCCTTGCGACCTTAGCGGCAGCGCGGATCATGGACGGCCCGCCGATGTCGATGTTCTCCACGCCATTCTCGAACGACGTGCCGCCAGCTGCTGTCACGGTGGCCACGAAAGGGTACAGGTTCACCGCCACCACGTCGATGGGGCCTGGGAGAACCGAGGGGGGCGGGGGAGGGGGAAGGGGTGGAACATGCTTGTGGGCACAGCGGTGGTGGAGAGAAGAGAGGGCACTTGCAGGGGCATGGCACGGGTTGACCAGCGCCACAATGACCGGGCCAGTGGCATGGGGAGGCGGGGGAGGAGGACGTGGCACAAGGCTTTGGTGGATGGCATGGCATGGCATGGCATGGCATGGGATGGCATGGCATGGCATGTCATGGCATGGCATGGCATGGGACAGCCCATGAGCATGGCGTTCAGGGCCATGGGTCGAGCCCTTGTGCTTGACACGCACCGATGCCGTGCGTGGCGAGCGCGTCCATGTGCGAGGGCACGGCACGCCGAGCCAGAATGCCCCCGTGCACGGCTGGATGCAGCGTCTTCACACGGCCGTCCAGCTGGCAGCACGGGATTGGAGGGGAGGGAGGAAGAGAGAGAGAGAGAGAGAGAGAGAGAGAGAGAGAGAGAGAGAGAGAGAGAGAGAGAGAGAGAGAGAGAGAGGGCGGCAACAAGGGGAAAGTCGGATTGTCGGAAGAGGGGAGGGGAGTGCGCGGTGGATACCGGATGTTGGGGGTACGGGAGAGAGAAAGAGGGCGCGGGGCAAGCAAGCACGGGAGGCGGTGAGTGGAAGGGTGGGCGGGTGAAGGCAAGCTGTCTGAAGAATCTGGGGAGTTGGTTTCTGGAAAGTTGCCACCATTTTGGTGAAATTATTTTTGGCAGGCTTACCATTTCGGGGAAGTTGGTGATCTGTTCCACTTTCGTGACGGGCAGCCCCGCCTCCTCGATGGCCCTCGCCGTGCCGCCCGTCGACACCAGCGTGAACCTGCCGGGGGGGTGGTGACGGGGGGAGATGACGGACGCACGAGTAGACGGAAGGAGGGTCAGGGTTTAAGGCAGGCGGAATGGGGAGGACGGCGGGGAGGGCGGGGATTATGAATCAGTGAAGGGAGCAGTCGGGAGAAAGAGAAGCTTTCTGCACGCTGAGAGGGTGAGGCGCGCGGCTGCACCGCTGCCTGAACCGTGAAATGGGGTCGGAATGGAAAGCCCAAAACCTCGCCGCAGCAGACGGCTATCGATAGGCGCCGCCACCCTGCCCAGCGCGTACCCGAGATCCAGCAGGCCCTTGGCGAGTGTATCGAGTCCCGTCTTATCGGAGACAGAAATGAGCGCTCGCCTCTCGCCTGCGGGGGGGGGTGCGGAGACAAAGGAACGGGAGATGGACGGGCAGCCAGGGGGGCGCGCGGCAGGCGATCGCGATGGCGCGGAATGCGATCGGCTGTCGGCACGACGCGCGCTGGCATGGCGATCGCGGCAATGTGCCGGTCGACTGGGCGAGCAACAGCTAGGCACTCGGTTGCGACGATGGCGATGCGATCCGCCAGAGCAAGGGATCAAGCGCGCCGCCACACACTATGCTGGGCTCACTTTGGCTCGCCATAACGCGTACGGCCGTGCGGCAGCGAGACGAACGGGGTTGGTGCGGCGCGGAGCGGGCAGGGACGGGCAGACGCGAGGAGCCGCGGGACGCGGCGAGGGACGACAAGGAGGAGAGGCCCGCGGGGTGAGCGGCGGGCAAGGGAGCCGCGAGAGATGCGAGAGGCGATTGTCCGGTGGAGGAGGAGACGTGCAGGGGAGCAGACACAGTGACGCTGCTGTTGGCGGCAGCCATGGCTTGGCGTCAGAAGTAGCAGAAGAAGAATCAGGCGATGCGAAACGGTCAGAAATGTGCTCCCGACCCGACTACAAGCAGGGCTGGCGGACAAGGTGCAAGACTGTTGGATAATACAAAATAGCTACACTAGCATTTTACTTCTGATGATCAGGCAAGTCACATCTTCCATAAAAATATGTTGGAAACTCATATTCCTATGCACATATATGCCGTTACAAACGCTGCATCCGAGTCTCCACCTACGATGGCAAAGATATCTTGGCGAGATGTGAGAACAGCTGTTTGTAGCCATTGGGCGACTCAACGTCGAAGGGCACGTATTGCGGGTCGCGATTGCGCAGACTGGCCTCGTACTCCCGCCACGGCACCCACTTCACCTCCGCCACCTCCGACTCCTGCACGCAGGGTAGGGGGGGTTGTCAAGCTCGGGGGGCTTTAAGTGTGAGAGGTTGGGGTGGGCCATGGATGGCGTGCAGCCATGTGGAGCAGGCGTGCGGGCAAGCAAGGAAGGGCGCAGCATGGAGGGGCGCAGCATGGAGGGAAGCGCAAGGCAAAGCCAGAGTGACATGGCTGCTGCAATGCAAGGAAGCTAACGAGCAGCTTTGCTGGCAAAAGGGAAGGGGCAATCGCCTTGGAGAAGGGGCAGCTTGAGAGGGGATTGGGGGATGCAGGGAGACAGGAGGCACATACTTGCAGGGTGAAAGCTGACAGAGGAAGGGGCTCGGGCACTGTGATTAAGTAGACGTCGCTAAACTCGTTGTTTATATAAGTGCCGTCCTTGAGCACTCTGCACAGCAGATGTGAAAACGTGGTTAATGCTGGAACAGAATGGATCAGAGCAGTACAGTGTACAGACACACGGCACACAGGAGCAGGGCGCACATGGCGCACAGGGCGCGGTGGAACAGGCGTTGCGTGGGTGAAGGTGGAGTGTATTCTGAGTCGACTCAAAATACACCTGGGTGAAGGTGGAGTGGCTCGCACAGGAGGTCAGCACCCATTCACTGGAGAGGAGGGCTACGAGTGGGACTGCATGGGATGAGTGGGACTGCATGGGATGAGTGGCACTGCATGGGATGAGTGGCACTGCATGGGATGAGTGGGACTGCATGGGATGAGTGGCACTGCATGGGATGAGTGGCACTGCATGGGATGAGTGGGACTGCATGGGTGCGTGGGTGGGTGGAGTGATTGGACGGCACTGGAGCAGAAACAAAGCACAGAGGAAGCAAGCACAGAGGAACAGCACAGAGTGGGACAAGACAAGGTGGCGCATGGGGTGCAGAGAGTGCGGGGCAGGGCGGCACTGACGACTGGAAGGTGTCTTGGAAGAGCAGCTGGAAGGCGGCGGCGGGCAGACAGATGCCCAACTCCTCCTCCATCTCCCGCCTGCCGGGGAGAGAGGGGGGGAAGGAGGGGGAGGGAGGGAGAGGGGAGGAAGACAGGGGTGAGGGCAATGCGCGGGCACGGGGACGGATGGCAAGAAGGAGTGGAGGGAGCAGGGATGGTAGGGACCGGGTTCAGGGGGGAGGAGGGGCATGGGAGGGTGAGAAGGTCAGGGCGATGCGTGCACCGCCATGGCCGTGCGAGAGGACCAGGGGACGCCTTGGGGCACGGAAAACGGCAGCGGGCATGTGAGCGGCGGCAGCACGCACACGGCGGTGTGCAGCGATGAGCAGCCGGTGGTGACGTGGCCCGCGCTGGACACGTCCCACATGTCGGCCCACGACTCCTTGTCCCTCGCCCGCCGCTGCAGCAGCAGCTGCGCGCCGCTCTCCGCGAACACCCACGTGTGCACCGCGCGGTGCCACAGCCCGCGCCTGTGCACCTCGCCGCTGCGGGGGCGAAGGGGGAGGGGGGGAGGTTTGGGGATCGGGAAGGAAGGAAGGGAGCGGCGGGTGGGAGCGCGAAGGCGAGATGCCATGGGGGACGAATGGGCAGAGGGGGATCGCCCAAGCGAACAGAAAAACGCGCGTCACGTGGCGGCGCGCGGAGCAGGTCTCACCGCGGCAGCGCGTCCCCCGTGGGCTGGCCCTTGTCGTCGAGCACGTCCAGCAGCTCCGCCTCCAGCGCCGCCGCCCCCGCCGCCGCCGCCGCTGACGGATCCACCGCGTTGGGCGGCGGGGGGAGGCCCTCCGTCATGCTGCTGTCGGCACCAACCAGTCAGAGCGCGATATGATGGCGGTGAGAGCGGCACGGCCCAGCGCGCGGCCGAGGAGTGAATTGCGCGAGGCGGCTGATCTGCTTGACGATGGCAGCGACGGAAATGGCGAGCGAGGGGACGGCGTGAATCGCGCTCGTTGGGGGAAGCAGCCGAATGGTTCTGCTCAACCACATGAGTGGCTGAGCCTTACTCTTGCATATACGCCTTGCAGAGATACCTACACGACGCCATAACTAAAGAAATGCTACTGCTACGTTGGCACGGTTTAAGAACATAAAATCCAAACAAAAAAACAATCATGCCCCCCATTTGTTTGGCAAAAGAACGCCCTTGTGGAGCGAGCGGATGCAACCACGCATCCACAAAGAATCACGTTGACTGTCATCTCAAACCCGACCTGCACGGTCGAATGAGACATGCCGCACAGGGGCACAGAGGGGGCGACTTGAATGAGACATGCCGCACAGGGGCACAGAGGGGGCGACTTGAATGAGACATGCCGCACAGGGGCACAGAGGGGGCGACTTGAATGAGACATGCCGCACAGGGGCACAGAGGGGGCGACTTGAATGAGACATGCCGCACAGGGGCACAGAGGGGGCGACTTGAATGAGACATGCCGCACAGGGGCACAGAGGGGGCGACTTGAATGAGACATGCCGCACAGGGGCACAGAGGGGGCGACTTGAATGAACAGCGGAACAAAGCAAATCGGATGGAGCATGAACTCGAGCACCCACACACTTGAGCAAGAAGCAGCGACTCACGCAACGCACCACGTGGTTTTGCACATGACGGCAGCGCGGCGCACAGCCCGCTTGGGATCATCGAGACGTGCGTCCATTGCTCTTAGCACCTGCAGGGGCGGTGGGGACATGGAGCATGGCAGCAGCGGCATCAGATCAACTGCAGCGAGGCACACGCATACTCAGCAGCCTACAGGGGCTCTCAAAGCGTAGGCGCGTCCTCACATGAGAAGCTCTCCAATGCCTTTTGCATCCCTCTCTGTCCCTGTGCATCTATTCCCACCATGCCACGCATGCTTCACACCCCACCCCCCCTCACCCGCCCCCCACCACCCGTCCTTCCCCCAGCACCTTCTTCGTGTGCGGGAACACTTGAGTGTGCGGCAGGCCCGCCAGAGCTGTGACGCACTCCACTGCCGTCTCCCGCACCTCCTGCCACGCCAATGGCAGGGGGGAGGGGGGATGTGGGGGCCAAGGGGAGCTGAAGGAACGGGCCGGGGAAACGATGCCGCGTGGACAGGGCGGTGTGTGGAGGCGAGCAGTGAGGCGGGGAGAAGTGGATGGAGGAGGCTCTTGCAGCCTGGGCGAGAGGCAGGGCGAGGGAAGGCAGCACGCATGGCATGGGAATGGCCGGCACAGCATGGCATGGGACTGGCCGGCACAGCATGGCATGGGACTGGCCGGCACAGCATGGCATGGGAATGGCCGGCACAGCATGGCATGGGACTGGCCGGCACAGCATGGCATGGGACTGGCCGGCACAGCATGGCATGGGACTGGCCGGCACAGCATGGCATGGGACTGGCCGGCACAGCATGGCATGGGACTGGCCGGCACAGCATGGCATGGGACTGGCCGGCACAGCATGGCATGGGACTGGCCGGCACAGCATGGCATGGGACTGGCCGGCACAGCATGGCATGGGACTGGCCGGCACAGCATGGCATGGGACTGGCCGGCACAGCATGGCATGGGACTGGCCGGCACAGCATGGCATGGGACTGGCCGGCACAGCATGGCATGGGTGCAGGTAGCACACGATGCACTGGCATGGCAACACACCATGGCATGCGGATAGGCGGCGAGGGCAAGGAGGTTGGTGGTGATGCTGGTGAGGTGCTGCCCACACAGGTCACGGGCTGGTGGCGGGTGGGGAAGAGGGGAGAGGCATGCACAAGGGGTGGTGGGGAAGAGGGGAGAGGCATGCACAAGGGGTGGTGGGGAAGAGGGGAGAGGCATGCACAAGGGGTGGTGGGGAAGAGGGGAGAGGCATGCACAAGGGGTGGTGGGGAAGAGGGGAGAGGCATGCACAAGGGGTGGTGGGGAAGAGGGGAGAGGCATGCACAAGGGGTGGTGGGGAAGAGGGGAGAGGCATGCACAAGGGGTGGTGGGGAAGAGGGGAGAGGCATGCACAAGGGGTGGTGGGGAAGAGGGGAGAGGCATGCACAAGGGGTGGTGGGGAAGAGGGGAGAGGCATGCACAAGGGGTGGTGGGGCGCGGAGTGGAAGCGCAGTGAGTCGGCGGACAAGGAGAGCCGATGAAGGCATTGACGTCTACCCTCGTGCTATCTCGTGTGATGCATGCGGAAGCCTGCCATGTGTCATGGCGCCCCACACCCACAATGTGTCTGGTGTCATGCCCAGCGCGCACCTGTGCCTGGGGTGGTGGCGAAGGAGCCGAGCAGGAGCAGCAGCGCGTGCAGGCGGGAGGAGTCGATGCGGTCGTGGGACAGGGACGAGAGGGCGGACAGCAGCAGCGGGAGCACCTGGTGGGGGAGATGGGAGGGGCGTGTAGGGGAAGCTTGAAAGGGATGGAAGGCAGAGTAGCGAGAGGGGCCCGAGGGTGGACTTGAATTGCAGTGGTGATAAGAACAGCAGGCAGGGCAGTGGTGCAGTGCGTGCGACAAGGGGTCAAAGAGAGGAGGAGCCACGGGGGGAGCATGGGGAATTGACGTGCGGAAGCGTGCACCTGGGGAGCGGAGAGGAGAAGGGCGGCAGGAGGGGCGTGGGCCACGGTGTGAGTGAAGGCACGCAGACATTGGGCCCTGGGGGGAGGGGGAAAGAGGGGGGGGAGAAAGCAAGAAGGAAAGGGGGGAGCAGGAGCCATAAAGGGGGAATTAGAAGCAAGAGCGCTTTGTGGGGAAGAGAAGGAAGGACGCCGTCCCATGCCTGTGGAAAAAGCTCGACCCGTGGAAAGCATTTGTGGGCAGTAGAATAGGTTTCCGAGTAAGATGCAACGGAACGGACAGGATGAGACAGAGCGATGGCAGACCGGCGTACCTAGCATGAGAGGGCGGGGCAGGTGGCATGTGGCGCAGCGTGGAGGAGAGGGCAGGCAGGAAGGCGCTGAGGAAGCGCTGCTTGTACAGCGGGCGGCACACGCAGTGACACGCAGGGGTCAGGCAGTCCCCCCCCTCCCCCATTATCACGCCAAACCCCTCCGCTGCCGCCACCCCCACCGCACTCACTGCTGCCTCACTTCCCCCCTCCGTGGCCCCTCCACCATCCTCCCTGTCCAAACCTCTCCCCACCTCCTTCCCCTGTGCCCCAGCACCCATGGCAGCGTGCAGCAGCGCATGCGCCACCCGCGCCATGCTCTCATGCCCCCGCATCGCCGCCGCCCTCCCCACCCACGCCACCAGCCGCAGCCTCCTCACCCCCTCTTCTCCCTCCCACCCTTCAATCGTCACCTCCCCCCCTCCCTCCACCCCTCCCCCTCCCTCTCCACCTCCACCTCCCCCTGCCTCCCCCCCTGCCTCCCCCCCCAGCGCGCCCCCCAGCACCACCTGCAGCACCTCGTCCACCGACATCACCACGGTGGTGCTTCCGGGAACCTTTCCGCTGTCCTTGGGCCACTTGTTGACCAGCGACGCCACTGCCACGCTGGCAGCCTCTGCTGACTCAGCAGACACGAGAGCGGGTGGTGACGTGGCAAGCAGGGAGAGGTGGCGCAAGAGGCCTTGCAGCAGGCACACGGGGTCCAGATCCGCTGCCTTGCCGTCCTCCTCGTTCTTCCCCTGCTCGCCTGCCTGCTGCTCCCCTCTTCCCTGGGCTGCGGAGTGCGAGGCGTGAGTCGGGTCTGCGCAGAGCAGTGAGGGTCGCAGGCCCACCACCAACGCTGCAGCCAGGCGGTTCAGCGCCTCTTGGGTGCGCACAGGGGGGGGGAGGGGAGAGGAGCGGGTGTGGGGGGTGTGGATGAAGGGGGCGCGGAGGAGAAGGAGGAGGAGGTGGTGGTGAGGGGGCGAAGGTAGCAGTCGAGGGAGGAGAGGAGGGAGAGCTGGGCGGCATGGGAGCAGCGGTGGGTGGCAGCAGTGACTGATGCACATGCTGCTGCCAGTAGGTGACCGGCAACAGGGGCTGGAGGGGTGGAGGAAGGACGGGAGGAGGAGGTTGAGGGGGGCTGGGCGACGAGGGGGGCTGGCAAAGACACGGACAAGAGCGGCGGCGTGGTCGCGCAGAAACTTGGAGTCGGAGGGACGCGCACCGTCACACCTGATGGCACGGGTGACGGGGGGTGGGTGATGGATGATGGGGGATGGGGTGATGTGGCCATGGAGAGAGCACGAGTGAAGGAGGCGGCATGGTGTGTCGCGCAGCAGATGGCACATGGAAGGCAAACCAACAGAGGCGTGTGACATGTTGGGGAAGACGACAAAAGCTGGAAGCGAAAGAGGTGTGTGAGTGAGATTGAGGAGGGTGGGAGGGGGAGGCCTCACATGGGAAGGAGGCGAGTGGAGACAACGTGAAGCACCGTGATGATTGCCTCTTGCCGACAGCTCGGCTGCACGAATGTGGAAGGGGGGAGATGAGGAGGGCGAAGGGGAGGAGCAGATCTGAAAGAGGGTGTGAGGGCAGGCGATTGCCACCGACTGAGCAGGCGCATGCAAAGCCGGAGACGAGACGAGGAGAGCAAACATGAGACGAGGAGAGCAAACATGAGATGAGGAGAGCAAACATGAGACGAGGAGAGCAAACATGAGATGAGGAGAGCAAACATGAGACGAGGAGAGCAAACATGAGATGAGGAGAGCAAACATGAGACGAGGAGAGCAAACATGAGATGAGGAGAGCAAACATGAGACGAGGAGAGCAAACATGAGACATGAGACGAGGAGAGCAAACATGAGATGAGGAGAGCAAACATGAGACGAGGAGAGCAAACATGAGATGAGGAGAGCAAACATGAGACGAGGAGAGCAAACATGAGATGAGGAGAGCAAACATGAGACGAGGAGAGCAAACATGAGATGAGGAGAGCAAACATGAGACGAGGAGAGCAAACATGAGATGAGGAGAGCAAACATGAGACGAGGAGAGCAAACATGAGATGAGGAGAGCAAACATGAGACGAGGAGAGCAAACATGAGATGAGGAGAGCAAACATGAGACGAGGAGAGCAAACATGAGATGAGGAGAGCAAACATGAGACGAGGAGAGCAAACATGAGATGAGGAGAGCAAACATGAGACGAGGAGAGCAAACATGAGATGAGGAGAGCAAACATGAGACGAGGAGAGCAAACATGAGACGAGGAGAGCAAACATGAGACGAGGAGAGCAAACATGAGATTGAAGCGGCGCATGCATCACGACCCAACAGGACAAGCACACAGCGATCCCAAGCGGCCAGATACATTCCAAGCCCCGGAAATCAATGAGAGAGAGGCAGGCGTGGCGAGGGCGTTACGATGGGCTGGGCGGCGCAGCCTCGGAGGGCCAGGCCAGTGAGGGCGGGCAGCGCCAAGTCCCTCGCTGCTGCCAGCTCCCCTGCCACGCCGGCCAGCGCCTCCGCCCACACCCCCACCCTCACTCGCCCCCCGCCCGCTGCACCTCCCCCTTTTTCCGCCTCCCCACCGCCTCGCTCCTCTGCCTGCTGCCCTGGTGGCTGTGCCTCGGCGCTATGGCGGCCAATGACGAGCTTGTCCCCCAGCACGGACAGCAGCGGCAACACCACCTCGCTCACACTCACACCGCCCTCCTGCCATCCACTGCCACCTCCTGCTAACCCCCCTCTTCTTCTCTCTCCTCTCCCCTCCATGCGCCCGCCCACCCGCCCTCAGCCCTGGCAAGGCAGGCGAGGGCGCGCACGAGGGAGCGGGCGAAGGGGGGGATGGCGGGCGGGGGGAGGGGCTCTGGCGGCTGCACAGGTGAGCTGGCGGGGGCACTTGGGGTGGCGCAGGAGGGTGCAGGGGGGTGGTGCCGGGCTTGCTGGGCTGGTGCGGCGCCGTGGCGTGTGCAGTAGAAGGGGGAGCGGTGGTGGCATGGCGGGCATGGGGGGCCGGCAGGTGGATGAGGGCGTGTGTGAGGCAGGCAGCGAGCTGAGAGAGGAGCGACGGCGAGACAGGGGAGACGGGCGGGGGGAAGGACAACAGGCACTCCAGCCCAGCCACTGCGGGAAGGAGGGGGGGTAGGGAAGGGAGTGGAAGAGGAGCGGTGGTGAGAGGCAGAGTGAAGCAGTGGTGGAGGGAACGAGGCAGCGGTTGAGAGGTGGCAGGGGAAGAGGCAGGTGAAGGTGAAGGAGAGGAGAAACAAAGAGGTGAGGGCGAGATAAGGTTGGAAAACAGTCACGCAGCAGGAGATACCGCAACAGCAGGCACCGGCGAGGCGGCCACTCACCGCCAAGCTCTGCTGCTTCCTCATGCCGGCCTGAGCTTCTGTGCTCACTCGGCCCGGTGTTGCTCTGCTGCCCCCCCTCCCCGCTGTGGCTGCCTTGAGGCACCGCCAGGGCGAGCGCCGAGCGGAACAGCAGCACCAGCCGCTCTCTCTCAGCCACCACAGTCACATCCGCCCTCGCACCCCACCCCACCATCCCCGGCCTCATCACGCCCCTCCCTCCTTTGACGCTCCTTGGCCCTCTCCCCTCCCCTGTTCTTCCCTCCCCCCTCCTTCTCTCCCTTCCTTCCCGTCCCCTCCCTCACTCTCCCAATCTTGTTGCGCCACGTCCCTTGCAGCTCGGATAAGGCTCACAATCACATCCAATGCCATCATGCCACGTGGATGCACTAGCTCCCTCTGCACCGCTCTGCACACCTCGCCGTCTTCCCCCTCGCCACTGCTCCCACGACTCCCCTCCTCCCTCCACTCCATACCCTCTCCTCCATCCCCTCCCCTCAGCTCCCCACTACTCTCCGCCCCACCTTCGCTCCCCACTCTTCCCCTCCCTTCCCTCCGCTCACCCTCCCTGCCTCCCGCACCAGAGGCCCCCCCCCTTGGACCCTGAGCGGGTGGGGGCAGCAGCAGGCGCATTAGGGGCGGGAGGAGGGAGGCAGAGACAGCAGCGGAGGCAGAGGGGGACACGCGGGCCACAGAGGCGAGCAGGTCAGCCGTGCCCTTCACTCGCCCTGACACCCCTGCCATGTCACCACCAGACGCACCTACCCCATATGCATCCCCACCATTACCCACCTCCCCCCTCTCCTTCCCAGATTCCTCCCCTCTCTCTCCAATCCCCTGTGTGGCCTGCTGCCCGCCCCACGGAATGAGCCCTCCCACGCTGCGCACAGCGTCGTCCTTGAGAAGCACGTCCAGCAGCGAGGGGCGCGCGGGCACACCCCCCATGGAATCCGCACTGCAAGGCTGTGTGGCACGCACACACGCCAACAGACACTGCAGGGCGGCAGATGATACCTTGGAGTCACTCCCGAGGGGGGAGGGGGAAGAGGTGGTGTGCGGTGCTGGAGGGTGCAGCGTGGGGAGGCTAGATTTGAGGGCTTGCCAGATGGCGGAGGCATGGGGGGCGATGGGGTGGGGACCCCAGGAGGAGGCACAGGCAGCGAGGAAGCGAAGGGAGTCGAGCTGGGGAAGGGGGGGTGGGTGGGGGAGAGTATAGTGGAGAGGATGCGAGTAAGGGAGGGAGGGTGAGGAGAAGGAGGGCAGGTGGGGAGATACGTTGAGATACTAGAAACAGGGTTGGGGTGCTGTAAAAGGGGATGCGCCCCACCTTGGCGGTGGGGAAGGACGAGGCGAGCTTGTCGAGCAGCAGAGGGAGGGCCATGGGAGCAAACTCAGGCGTGCTGGAAAACGCACCCTGCAGACGGGCGGGTAGGTGGATGGGAGGAAGGGCAGGGAGGACATGAGCAGGTGCAAGGGAGGCCGCCGTTACACAAGTCAAAGTCACACGTCATGGATAACGGGTGGTGAGCGGGGGTGGCAGGAGGGCCAGAAACAGCAAGGCTGCCTGGCCCACAAGAGCATGCGGCTCACCAGCAGCGCCTGAACGAGGTCCTCTCGGGTGATTCCCCGCGGGTCGTTGGGCGGCTGCAGGGGGGAAGAGGCATGATGACACGGCATGGATGGATGGTAGGAGGGCGGTGAGGGGGCATGGAGCACAAGTCAAACGGTGCATTCACATCATGCATGGAGCACAAGTCAAACGGTGCATTCACATCATGCATGGAGCACAAGTCAAACGGTGCATTCACATCATGCATGGAGCACAAGTCAAACGGTGCATTCACATCATGCATGGAGCACAAGTCAAACGGTGCATTCACATCATGCATGGAGCACAAGTCAAACGGTGCATTCACATCATGCATGGAGCACAAGTCAAACGGTGCATTCACATCATGCATGGAGCACAAGTCAAACGGTGCATTCACATCATGCATGGAGCACAAGTCAAACGGTGCATTCACATCATGCATGGAGCACAAGTCAAACGGTGCATTCACATCATGCATGGAGCACAAGTCAAACGGTGCATTCACATCATGCATGGAGCACAAGTCAAACGGTGCATTCACATCATGCATGGAGCACAAGTCAAACGGTGCATTCACATCATGCATGGAGCACAAGTCAAACGGTGTATTCACATCATGCATGGAGCACAAGTCAAACGGTGCATTCACATCATGCATGGAGCACAAGTCAAATGGTGCATTCACATCATGCATGGAGCACAAGTCAAACGGTGCATTCACATCATGCATGGAGCACAAGTCAAACGGTGCATTCACATCATGCATGGAGCACAAGTCAAACGGTGCATTCACATCATGCATGGAGCACAAGTCAAACGGTGCATTCACATCATGCATGGTGCGGCTGCGCAGAGCTGCTTAATGCACTACCACTTATCACACACAGATAAAAGCTGGTGTGCGCTGGTTGAGATAGGATGGCGTGTGACGGAGAGGCATGGCTCACGGGGTTGAAGGACACGGGGAAGTAGGCCGCCACGACGTCGAAGAGGTCCTCCGCCACGCCGCTCACAGCTGCCCTGCCGCCCTCGCGGTGCAGCGCTGCCACCAGCAGCGCCACGATGCGCAGCGCCAGCAGCAGGCAGCGCGGGTCCTTTTCCCCGTCCACTGTAGCCACCACGCCCCCCGCCAGCCCCGCCCACCCCGCCCCTCCCTCCACGCCCGCGGCTGCCCCCGCCTTGCCAGGAGGCGAGGCGGCAATGTGACACTCCAAGAGGGCGAGCAGCAAACGCAGGGCGAGCTGGAGGGGGGGGAGGAAGGGGGGGGCAGTAGCGCAGAGGCAGACAGCGGTGAGGGCAGAGGGGATGGCACGGAGGAGAGTGACGTGGCGGGCACACGGGGAGAGGGTGGCAGCAGCAGCACGGGAGCTTGCAAGCAATGCCATCAGAACACCAGCGCCCCGCCCCCACACAATGACCATCATCTCCCCATGCTCCCACCATCCATGCTCCCACCATCCATGCTCCCACCATCCATGCTCCCACCATCCATGCTCCCACCATCCATGCTCCCACCATCCATGCTCCCACCATCCATGCTCCCACCACCCATGCTCCCAACATCCATGCCCCCACCATCCATGCTCCCACCATCCATGCTCCCACCACCCGTGCTCCCACCATCCATGCCCCCACCACCCATGCTCCCAACATCCATTCCCCCACCATCCATGCCCCCACCATTCATGCTCCCACCATCCATGCTCCCACCACCCATGCTCCCACCATCCATGCCCCCACCATCCATGCTCCCACCATCCATGCTCCCACCATCCATGCTCCCACCATCCATGCTCCCACCACCCATGCTCCCACCATCCATGCTCCCAACCCAACATCCATGCTCCCACCACCCATGCTCCCAACATCCATGCTCCCACCACCCATGCTCCCAACATCCATGCTCCCACCATCCATGCTCCCACCATCCATGCTCCCACCATCCATGCTCCCACCACCCATGCTCCCAACATCCATGCCCCCACCATCCATGCTCCCACCATCCATGCTCCCACCATCCATGCTCCCACCATCCATGCTCCCACCACCCATGCTCCCACCATCCATGCTCCCAACCCAACATCCATGCTCCCACCACCCATGCTCCCAACATCCATGCTCCCACCACCCATGCTCCCAACATCCATGCTCCCACCATCCATGCTCCCACCATCCATGCTCCCACCATCCATGCTCCCACCACCCATGCTCCCAACATCCATGCCCCCACCATCCATGCTCCCACCATCCATGCTCCCACCATCCATGCTCCCACCATCCATGCTCCCACCACCCATGCTCCCACCATCCATGCTCCCAACCCAACATCCATGCTCCCACCACCCATGCTCCCAACATCCATGCTCCCACCACCCATGCTCCCAACATCCATGCTCCCACCATCCATGCCCCCACCACCCGCACCCCCCTCACCGTTCTGTCGGCCTGTGCCAGTGCCTGCACCTGCACCCCCACCACCGCCGCTGCCATCCTCCCTGCGTCCCCCTCCGCCACTGCCCCCACCCCCTCCCCCCTTTGCACTAGCGCCAGCCCCCCCCTCAGCGCCCCCCGCACACACGGCCAGTCAGCCTTGTGTGGGGGAAAAGATGGGACGGGGGGAAAAGATGGGACGGGGGGAAAAGATGGGACGGGGGGAAAAGATGGGACGGGGGGAAAAGATGGGACGGGGGGAAAAGATGGGACGGGGGGAAAAGATGGGACGGGGGGAAAAGATGGGACGGGGGGAAAGGAGGGCAGAGGGAGGGAAGATGAGGAGCGGGTTGGAGGAGTGGTGTGATGAGGACGGGGCAGCTGGGCTGAGATGGACGCACTCTAGTGAGCACGTGGGGGCCGTCATCACGCTGGACAGCGGGAGGAGAGAACTACCATGCGGTGGAGGGTCATACCATGCGGTGGAGGGTCGTACCATGCGGTGGGAGAAGAACTGAGCGAGAGTGCTGAGCGTGAGTGGCGGCAGCGGCGCGACCACCATGGCGTCCACCAGCGACGCCAGCACCGCCGTGCCTGGGGGGGGCGAGAGCAGGGAGGGAGGGGAAGGGGGGATGTGCGGGGAGGGGCGATGGCAGGTGAGAAGGAGGATGATGGCGCAGCGGTGGCCGGGGGGGAAGGGTGAAGGCGCGTGGATGCGACGCGAGTGCGGGGGGGCGGGGCAGCCGGCCCTGGTGGCGTTACCTCGCGCTCTGAGCGCGTGGTCGGGCGCGGTGAGGAAGTCGCCCATGCCGCCCACCACGTCGCTCAGCGCCACCTGCTCCCCGCGCACCAGCGCCTGCAGCTGCCTCCGCGCCGCCTCCTGCTCCCCGCCACGCCGCTCATCCGCGCACGCCGCCTCCAGCAGCGCCCGCCAGTCCGCCTCCGCCATGGGCTCCGCCATCGCCCCTTTCACCGCCGCTCCCGCAGTCGCCGCTAGTTGCGGCGCGATACGCTAGCGGCGAGAGCGGGCCATGAGGGGGGCGAGTCGGATGAATCGCGTGCGGCCTCGACCCGCTGCTGCGCGGGCAGTGGGGCGCGCGCGATCGGGCACGAGACCTGGTAGTCGCGAGACCGGCTGACCGGCCTGGTAGTACGGGAAAGCGAGCCTGGGCTATGTGGTTAGGCTAAGCGGCTAAGCCGAGAAGATGGCTGGTAACTAGTAAAGCTTGAAGCCTGCCGAAACCGGCTCACTAGCGCCGTGTCGCGTGCCTCGCGTGGAGTGTGGGGTGGCGCGGATCACGGATTCACGGTGCGCATATCATCCCAGACACAGAATTCGTGCCCCGACACATTATTGACTCATCGGTCTCTGTCCAGCCACGAACACTCGCGATGTCCTTCTCCAAGTTACCAGACCTCTCGTAGGCGAATACGATGCGGAACTTGTGCGGCGAAATGAAGTTACAAAGTCAGTCTCAACTCGATATTTCAAAAGGGAAATTTGCTAAATGCTGTGCGTGAATCTTCCATGTGATCGGCGGTACATCGCCAAGTCAAATGTACCTTCCCCTCCCCACCCTTCCTTCACTCACGAATAATACCTCGTCGCGGTCTCTTCTGTCCCTTCCAGGTCGTACGATCTGCGGTTCGCACATACGCCATACGCCTTCCCCACAATCACCTCTTCTACCGCCGTCTCGCCCTCTCACAGCGCAATGGACGGCGGGCGGCGTTCGCCGGCGGGGCGGGGCGAGCTGGGGCGGCTGGAGGACGATCTGCTGTTCGGCGTGCTGCGGCGCCTCGACCGCCGCGCCGACAAGCTGGCGGCGGCGCTGGTGTGCAAGCGGTGGCTCGCGGTGATCCGCGGGGCGTACATGCGCTGCACCATGCTGCACGTGGGCGCGCTCAAAGCCATCCTCGCCTGCTGTCCGTTGATCCAGGATCTCAACTGCTCCAAATGCATCCGAGTACGACACGTGTCGTTCCCTCAACGCCGTGCCTTGACTGCATCTCGAGCAGTCTCTGTCGTGTCGCTTGCCCTGGCACCTGAGCGCGCATTCCTCATTGTCGACGCGACCGTTGTTGCATGAGCTGTCGCCCGCCTCATCGTATTCCCACGCCCAGGTGTGGCATCCCAGTGCCACACCTTCCAACAGCCCAACCACTGCGCGCGTCATGCGCCGTGATCCCTGTCGGGTTCGTCGCGGTATCCCGAAGCCCTAACGATCGGCCTGCCACGTGGCGTTCTCGCAGGTCCGCGACGAGCACGTGGTGGCCATTGCGGAGAGGTTCGGGCCGAACCTGCTGCGGCTGAACCTGGCGAGCAACAAGCGCATCGGGCTGGCGGCGCTGCAGGCCATCGGCGCGCATTGCTCGCAGCTGCAGGCGCTCTGGCTCACCAACGGAACCTTCGACGATGCTGCCCTCATGCCCATCGCGTCCTGCCACCGACTCAAGGTATGCTCACCCCTCCGCCCTTGAGTGCGCGTGGCGGATGGGAGGGGGAGGGCGGTGTAGGATGACTCGCGCGGCACTGGCGAGGGCACGTCATAAGGCATTGGGTAATGCGATGCTTTCTTGCAGCACGTGAGCTCGTGGTGGCATGTCGGGGACATGGTATCCATTCACCGCATTGCACGGCATGGTATGGCATGGTATGGCATGGTATGGCATGGCCTGGCGTGGCGTGTTGGCGTGAGGGAGTGCAGGTGTTGGGGCTGGCGAACTGCCGGGTGGTGACAGACATGGGGCTGTGCTGCGTGGCGGCGGGGTGCAAGGAGATGGAGGAGGTGTCGCTCAAGTGGTGCGTGGGCGTCAGCGACCGCGGCGTCGACATGCTGCTCACTAACTGCCACGCCATCCACACGCTCGACCTCTCATACACCAAGGCACGGCGCACGCTCCACCTCTCATACACCAAGGCACGGCGCACGCTCCACCTCTCATACACCAAGGCACGGCGCACGCTCCACCTCTCATACACCAAGGCACGGCGCACGCTCCACCTCTCATACACCAAGGCACGGCGCACGCTCCACCTCTCATACACCGAGGTGCACTCGACCGGTCATGCCGCCTTCCTCCGTTCCACTGCGTGCCCCTCTCCCCCTCTCTCTCGCACGTCGTCGCCTCCGTTTCTCCCCCCCTCCCCTCCCCCGTGCTCGCAGGTGACGGAGGCGGCAATGCGCGTGGTGCAGCGCCACCCGAGCCTCGCGCGTCTGACGCTCGCCAGCTGCCAGTTCCTCGACGACCCAGCCATCGCCGCGCTCCGCCATGGCTGCACCGCGCTGCAGGTGCCTACCACTCACGCCAGAACTGCTTAGCTGATTTCCGTTGCAGCTAATAATCTGTTGGAGCTCATTTGAATAGAACTCTCTTCCCCCCCCCACCCCACACCCCCCCCCCCGACCCTTGCGTGTGTGTGGTGCAGAGTCTGGACGTGTCGGGGTGCGAGCAGGTGACAGACGTGGGCCTCATGGCGCTCACTGCCAGCGCCATCCCCCTCTCCTCCCTCACCGCCGCCTTCTGCTCCCAGGTCAGCGCCTGGTGCCCCCAGGTCAGCGCCTAGTGCCCCCAGGTCAGCGCCTAGTGCCCCCAGGTCAGCGCCTAGTGCCCCCAGGTCAGCGCCTAGTGCCCCCAGGTCAGCGCCTAGTGCCCCCAGGTCAGCGCCTAGTGCCCCCAGGTCAGTGCCTAGTGCCCCCAGGTCAGCGCGTAGTGCCCCCAGGTCAGCGCCTAGTGCCCCCAGGTCATGCTGTAACTGCAAATTAAATCTGCAGATTGTGATTTTGTTGTAGCAACCTTGGGTACTTGCGAACATACTTGACTGCTCGCTCTAGCATGTGCCCCATCACTCCCACTCTCGTTCCTCGCTTTCATCCCCCTCCTCCCCCCCCAACACCACTGCCCACCAGGTGAGCGACAACCTGTTGGCGTTGCTGCCTCGCTTCGCGGCGCTGCGATGCCTGAAGCTGGACCTGGCGCCCATCACGGACGCGGGCCTCACCGACCTCGTGGGGGCCTCGTCCCCTCACACTGCCCATGGTGCTGCAGCCGTGGCAGATGGGGCGCATACCAGCGTGGCAGCAGCAGCAGCAGCATCGGCAGATCCCAATTCAGCGGCCGTTGACAGACGAGTGGAGGGGGCGGGGCGAAGGGCAGCAGAGGGAGCGAGTCTCACGGCAGACGGCCCTGGTGGGGCAGCCGTCAGGGCCGCGCCGCATGGCCTGCCAGGTGCAGCACAGGCGGCGGTGCCGCAAGTGCGGTGGGCAGCGGCGGGGTGCTGGCAGCTGGAGGAGGTGTCGTTGCGGCGCTGCGAGGCCGTGGGCGACGAGGGGCTGACAGCGCTGGCGGCTGCGAGCCCCGCACTGCAGTCCTTGGACATCACGTGCTGCTCCGCTGTCACCGACGCCACGCTGCTCGCCCTCTCCGCCCACTGCAGGTCGGACCCTGTGCCTCACGCCTCTGCCTATCTGCAGCGCTGTGCCCATCCCTTCCAACCATGCGCGCCACGAGCCACTGGGCTCACGCCCTGACCTGCCTCTGAAAAGGAAGTGGGCCCATCCACACGGCATCTCCCCCCCTCCACCAATGCAAGCTTGCAGAAAGTGCAGAATCATCCACAAGCCAAACATGTAGCCAAAGCGTGCGTGCGCTCCTCCTGTGTGCGTGCCCTCCGTCCTGTGTGGGTGCCCTCCCTCCTGTGTGCGTGCCCTCCCTCCTGTGTGTGTGTGCCCTCCCTCCTGTGTGGGTGCCCTCCCTCCTGTGTGCGTGCCCTCCCTCCTGTGTGTGTGCCCTCCCTCCTGTGTGCGTGCCCTCCCTCCTGTGTGGGTGCCCTCCCTCCTGTGTGCGTGCCCTCCCTCCTGTGTGGGTGCCCTCCCTCCTGTGTGCGTGCCCTCCCTCCTGTGTGGGTGCCCTCCCTCCTGTGTGCGTGCCCTCCCTCCTGTGTGGGTGCCCTCCCTCCTGTGTGGGTGCCCTCCCTCCTGTGTGTGTGCCCTCCCTCCTGTGTGCGTGCCCTCCCTCCTGTGTGTGTGCCCTCCCTCCCGTGTGCGTGCCCTCCCTCCTGTGTGTGTGCCCTCCCTCCTGTGTGGGTGCCCTCCCTCCTGTGTGCGTGCCCTCCCTCCTGTGTGTGTGCCCTCCCTCCTGTGTGCGTGCCCTCCCTCCTGTGTGTGTGCCCTCCCTCCTGTGTGCGTGCCCTCCCTCCTGTGTGGGTGCCCTCCCTCCTGTGTGCGTGCCCTCCCTCCTGAGTGTGTGCGCTCCTCCTGTGTGCGTGTGGCCCCTGGCAGCCGGCTGTCCTGTGTGCGCATGGAGGCGTGCCGTGGCGTGTCGGACAAGGGGCTGGTGGCGCTCTTCTCGCACTGCACTGGGCTCACCACACTGGACCTCACCGACTGCGGCATCTCCGACAGCAGTACGGCGCATGGGGCATGCAGTGGGCATGGGGCATGCAGTGGGCATGGGGCATGCAGTGGGCATGGGGCATGCAGTGGGCATGGGGCATGCAGTGGGCATGGGGCATGCAGTGGGCATGGGGCATGCAGTGGGCATGGGGCATGCAGTGGGCATGGGGCATGCAGTGGGCATGGGCATGCAGTGGGCATGGGCGGCATGGGGAGGGGCACTGTGACCCGCATGCTCAAGCCACACTCGTCCGGATATGCCCAGCCTCGTTCCTCGTTGCTCCCCACTCGTTGACCTCCCGGCCTCCCCATGTGCTCTCTTCCTGCCACCGCCTCCCACCAGCCCTGCAGGGCCTGCAGCACTGCCCGTCGCTGCAGTCCTTGAAGCTTGGCTTCGACATGGACGTCACTGACGCCGGCCTGCGCTCAGTGGCCGCCTCCTGCTCCTCCCTCACTGAGCTCGACCTCTACCGGTGCGCCCCATGCCGTGCCGTGCTGCACTGTGCCACACCATAGCATGCGATCCCTGTCAGCGCATTCAGACAGCCTCATGCCGCATGGGCCGACCTGCTGTCAGATCACACCGCCAGCGGTCACACATGCCATGTCAACCCATGCGTCCCGCCACCCCTCCTGCCCGCCCTGTCAGCTGTGAGGGCGTGTCGTGCACCGGCATAGCAGCGGTGGCGCGCAGCTGCCCGCAGCTGCTCACGCTGAACCTGTCCTACTGCCAGCGCATCCGCGACGCCGCGCTCATTGCCATTGGGCGCCACTGCCCGTGCCTGCGCAACCTGGAGGTGCGCGACGCGCCCCACGTCACCAGCAGGGGGCTCATGGCCATTGCCGGCCAGCTGGACGTCTCTCAGGCGCCTCAGCTTGCGTGTGGCGCTGAGGGGAGCGGGCAGGTGGAGGGTGGGGAGGGTGAGGGGCGGGTGGCGGGGTGTCGGGAGCTGCTGGAGGTGGATGTGAAGCAGTGCAGCGGCGTGGACGACCACGGCTTCATCGCCCTTGCTAAGGGCTGCATCGACCTCAGACAAGTCAGTGCTCCGCGCCCCTCCCTCGCACCTCTCCGTCATTTCCTGGCATACAAGCTGGCTCTTCGGTTCCCCTCACAACCCCTCATCCGACCCTATCTGCCCCTTCCTCACCCCCCCCGCCCCCCCAGGCGAATTTGTCGTACACGCGCATATCGGACGCAGGGCTGGCGGCGCTGGCGGGCATGGCGTGCATGACCAAGTTCAACCTCGTGCACTGCACGCACCTCTCCATGCGCGGGCTGGAGGCGGCGCTCAACACGTGCGTGGGGCTGAAGAAGGTGAAGCTGCTGCAGTCGTGGCGCCCCCTCATCTCCGCGCACCTCGTGGCCGACCTGGAGGAGAGCGGCTGCCGCTTCCGCTGGATGGACAAGCCGCCGCTCGACGCGCTGCGCTCCCAACCATAGCCGCATGCAACACCCCCTGAGCTATCAGTAACATCTTTGTGAACCTATAATTTTTGACCATGTGTAGTCTAGACGGGTATTCGGTGCATAATACCGCATGGCTCATGAAGAGGTCATGACCCTAACCCCGGGTCTGTCCATAATGCAACACGATTTGGTAATAATGGCACTATCAGAGTCGCAAGGTAGCGGGTGTTTTTACAAACTACACACCAAACACACTTGGCATCACTCTGTACGTGTGGCATCACTATCGCTGGAGCAGCTTGAGCAGCGTGGCGGCCAGCAGCTCATTCCACGTGTCAGGCACGCCCGGCAGGCACCAGTCCGTGCAGTCCGCCTTGGGGCGCACGGGTGACGCCATCCAGGGGTGGGCGTCGGCGCGCTGCGCTGTCAGCAGCGACACGTTCATCAAGTGCAGGCGGGGGAGCGCCCTCCCTGCCACCCCGCCTGCTGCTGCTCCACCTGCTGCCGTGCTGCTACTGGAGCCGCGAGCCCCTGCTGCCACCCCAATGGCACGTGCCACGGCATCGTCATACCGCCGCGCCTCCTCCATCACCTCCGATGCATGCTCCTAGGATGGGTGCAGGCGGGGGGAAGATGGGACGCGATGGGCTAGGGTCTGGGTGGAGGGGATCAGTCGTGTGGAAGATGTGGAGCAATTCACAGTTCAACAAGCACAGGGCAAGCAGCATCCGGTTGCAAGGGAGGGGTTGTGACTCACAGCATCGGGGAGGAGCATGCGGGCGGCGCACTGCTTGCGGGGGTGCGTGGGGCTGAAGGAGCGGAAGACAGCGGTGCCGTTGAAGTGCGAGGCGTTGGCGAGCCAGGAGGTGACGGCGGCCATGGCGAGGGGGTACGCCCACTGCCCCACCAGCCCCTCCACGCTCAGGTTGCTCTGCCGCACGCCCCCCACCACCACACTCAGCCCGTGCGTCTCCACGGCGTCCTCCGTCCAGCTGCGCCCCGACGCCAGCACCACCGCATCAAACAGCGCCGCCTGCTGCGCCCACGCCGGGTCGGGCTCGTCCACGTGGATGCGGTTCGGGTAGCACGCATCGCGCACCACGCCCTCCCCCCCGCCGCTTGACCCAGCTGGGGACGCGCCCTCTGCATGCTCTGGCGCTTGGCTGGTGGATCCACCAATGCTGCTGCTGCTGCTGCTGTTGGCAGCGGAGGTGTTGAGTGCAGTGGCTGCGGCTGCCCGCTGCAGCTGACAGAGGGTGGCGTTGACTGGCGAGAGGAGGGAGGCCTTGACCAGGAAGGGCGAGGGCAGGAAGGCAAGAGTGACGTTGTGCCGGGGGAAAACGTACAGCAGCGGCTGCATGTCAAACAGTGCAAAGGAGGCGGAATATGCAGCAGCAGGAGGTGTGGAGGTGTGGTCTGTGGAGCCGCTTGCACTGCTTGCGTCGCCAGTGCCAGCATCTGCGGCTCCCACGTGCTGCTGCGCACTGCTCGCCCTCCTCCACCCGCCCCACCTGATTGGGTTCCAGCCCCACCCGGCCTTCTTGTGCCTCCCACCACCACGCCTCACATCACTGCCTGCGCCCTCGCTGCCCCTGACCCCGGTCTGCACCATGGAGGCAGCACGGGCGGCCAAGGGGGCATCCAGGGCGGCATGGGGGGCATGGAGGGCGGAGGGGGGGGCATCTAGCGCACCAATGAACACACGGCCATCTGCAGCAGCCCGGACGCTCTCACCCTGCCTGCCGCCACTAACAGCCTGTCGAGGGCTCGTCTCACCACCGCCGCCTCTTCCCTTGGATGCGTCAGTGCGAGTCGTGGGGGGCTCGCTGGGTGCAAGGAGTGTGCGGCGGGGAGAGGCGTCGGGGAGGGCGGTGGGGGTGTCGGCCTGGGCGAGCATGCAGAGCATGGAGTCAAACGCGTTCGCCACCGCCTTGTCGCCCACATACGCCACGCGCCGCCCCGCCATGCCCTGCAGCCACGCCTCCGCCGAGAACTCCGCCACCTGGCACTGGGACGGCTCCCAGCGCCACGTGTCAGGCGCTGATAGGCCGAACTTGGCGCAGTTGAAGTCGTCCCTGAGGAAGGGGCAGGAGGGCGGGTAGAGCGGGCGGCGCGAGGAGAGCGCCCAGCGGCCACGGTCCAGCGGGCAGGAGAGGGAGAAGGCAGGGCGCAGGCGAGGCAGGACTGGCAGCGCGCACGCGGAAAAAGCGTGAAGTGGATGAGGGGTGGGGAGGGCGGGGACGGGAGGGGTAGAAAGGTGAGGAGGGAAGAGGAAGCGGCTGAAAGAAGAAGGGTAGGGATTGTGGAACGCAAGGCAGGGACACGGAAGGAGCAGGGCGGGGAGAAGGCAATGGATGGGGTAGGGCGCGAGCACGGGGATGGGGCAGCGAGCAGAGCGACATGGCAGCACCGACAACGACAACGGGGCGAGGGGCGAGGGCGCGGGGTTGGGAGGGGGCTTACTGGCGTCGACGACGGTGAGGTAAGCGACGGTGCCGAAGACCATGAGCGTCACCACGGCCAGCACCGGCAGCACCTCCATCACCTTCTGCCTCCACCTGTGCCCGCCCCCCGCCCCCCCACGCCCATCCCCATGCGCCCCGCCGCCATCACCGGAGCCTCTCCCCGCCCCACCCCCTTCACCATCGCTACCACCGGACCCCGTCCTCCCCGCCCCCTCCCTGCTGCCCAGCCCGCCCAGCGAGCTCACCGCTCCCCCCACTGCGGACCAGTTGCCCCTCCCCCTGACTCCTCCTGGCGCGCTGAAAGCTTGCGCGGGAGCAGAGCGCGCAGACTCGACCGCAGCCCCCCCCGTCGCCGTGCTGCGGGCACCGTCCGGCGCAGCTTGGCGCGCTGCTCCCCGTAAACTGTGGTGAGGCGTGATGCCGTTGGCACCACAGCCACTGACGTCACCGAGCAGTTGCGCGTGCGTCGAGCGCGGAGCCAACACCCCCCAGAGCTTGCCGGCGAGAGATTGGGCGGCGTCCGCGCCGCTGCTGGTGCTGCCGCCGACGGTGGTGGTGGCGGCATGGTGGCGGAAGGCAGAGGGAACCCGCGGGTCGACAGGCGCGAGCGGCTGGAGCAGCGTGGAGGGCGGCGAGAGAGAAGCGGGCGGAGGGCGGTGGAAGAGATTCCGACCCCACGAAAGCAGCGCCGACCCCACGCCGCCTTCCGCGAACCCGCCATGCCTCTCGCCCCCCTCCTCCCCTCCCTCCCCGTCCTCCTCCCACGCCGCGTACCGCCCGCCCTCACCGTCGCACTCCTCGCCGTCATCGTCACCGCCATCCGCCGGAGCCGCACGGGCGAGGAGGCGCGCGGCTGCAGGCGGCGAGGTGCGCGCGAAGATGGCGGCGGGAAGAAACGAGGAAGCGAGAGAGTTGAGTCGCTTGGGCGGGCCGTTGGTGGAACGCGGCGAAGTGGCGGGTGCAGGGGCGGCGACTGACGGGGATGACTCGCCCGGTGCTGCACACCACTCGTCCTCCACCCACTCCACTGCTGCCACTGATGCCACTGATTCCCGCATCGCACGCACGATGCCAAAGGCGAAAAACGAATCAGTTAATAGAAAATAAAATTGCTGAAATCAAGACCTCTCTACAAACCTGGTGTGGCTTTCCTAGCTAGAATAGTCTCGAGGTAAGTCGTCCGAGCAAAGAAACCCTAAGTTGGTCCACTTTGCTGGAAGTCAACTACACCCAATACGCCATAATTTTACCCCCTAAAAGCAGAGCATTTCTACCATTCCCACAGAACAAAAGTCGAGGCGCCAGAACAAAAGTCCCGTTTTCGTTGGATATTAGTTAGAGGTAGCGGAGGACATCTATATAAGCCAACCCCTGAAAGTGTTGCAATGTCATGCATTTAGGTCCAGAAGTGTGGCAAGACTAAAAAAATATGAGAACACATAATATTTTGGTGCAAGCAAATTTGGAAACTTGCTAGCTCACGACTCTTCGGCGAGCCTCGGACCATGTTTTTTTTCATGACACATTTGAACGAATGCCACATTTGACATGCGACGAGGATGCGACAAACCCGGGCAAACATGTTCCTTGTTAGTCCCACTTCACAAGCCCAAAAAACACATTGCTAAATCCAAGCTCCCTAAAGCCATTTCAGGAGCCACCACACCACGGGTGTCCGAAGTAAAACAAATTGTGACGTCCCGAGACGTCACATGAAGGTACAGCACGGTATTCATTGGTTTTAGAATGGTTAGGGAGCATAAACTGTCGGTTCTGCGACGTCCCGAGACCCTACGCTCTACTTCGGACACCCCCTAATATTGATATTCAATCTCTAGTACCTCATGCACTCTGATAACCCTAGTTTGCCAACCCTGACATGCCCAAAGGTTAGCTCATGATATACCTTTTAACACCCCCACATGCAATACAGAAGAAAAGACATCAAGAACATGCAGAATGTTTTGCTATAATGGGAGCTTCTACAGAAGTGCAATATGCAGACAGAGCTATTCAGCTCTCTAGTTGAGTAAGGAGAGACTGCCTTTAGACTTGTGTGTCCTTAGAATGACTTGAGAAATCTTTTAGACACACACAAATTATCAGAATTGAAAATTGAATGATGGATAGAGTGAGAGTACACAAAGATATACCTAAGTGTTGTACTCTCTAAGAAGCGACCCTATACAGTCTATACAAACATGACAAATACACATGTTTGACACACCCCCTAGACTGCATAGGGGAATGCCCTAAACAAACAGCTCAGGGCGGCACTACTAGTCCAACCTCTGAGACAAGGGTCTAAGAGACCAGTTAGAAGGAGTACAAACAAGGCAAGAACAAGGGCAGGGCGGCACTACTAGTCCAGCCACTGCGAGAGGACACAAGTCCAGTCTGAGTATACGCATAAAGGACAGTACAAAGTCAAGGTCCTAGCAAGTGAGAGGCTACAGGAACTAGACCAAGCTGTACACAGTGCCGCTGATGATCTTTAGGCGCAAGCGCCTTCGTAAAGATATCAGCCGTGTTGGCACCTGAGGCCAAGTGTACTACGCGAGCCTGACGTCGCTGCTGTAGCTCACGCAGGAAGAAGTACCGCAGCTGAATGTGCTTTGCTCTGCCCTCGAGTCGAGGCTCCTGACACAGGAGGATCATGGCCCTGTTGTCAGCGAACAGGACCGGGGCAGAGCTAGGCCGCTCACCTACAGTCAGTGAGCAAGAAGGTCAGCCAGCGGAGCTCCTGTGCCGCCATGGCACCAGCGTAGATCTCAGCCTCACAGCTGGACTGCGCTACAGACGAGGAGTGGGTAGCTCTCCACGAGACGGCAGCTGAGCCAAGGCTGAAGCAGTAGCCCTGGGTAGACTTGAGCGTCTCAGCGTCGTCTGCCCACGAAGCGTCTGTGTGTCCAGTAAGGACCACTGGCCTGCGTCCTCCTAGCACTAACCCCATGCCCGATGTACTAGCAAGATAACGCAGAACCCTCTTAGCGGCAGACCAGTGCTGCGGTCGGTGTCTGCCTGTGGCCACAAAGCGAGCCAGGATGCTGAGAGGGTATGCGAGATCTGGGCGAGTGCAAGTCATCAGGTACATGAGGCAACCCACCAGCTCTGCGTAGGGGCCGCTGGGCTCTACCAACTCCTCAGACACTGGAGCGGAGAGTCTGTGGTCTACAGGCAGAGAGGTGGGCTGTGCAGAGGAGAACTGAAGGCTGAACCTCTGAAGGACCTGGCGCACCAAGTGTGACTGAGTCAGGGTGATGGTGCGCGCAGCTCTATCCCTGGAGATCTGCAAGCCAAGGTAACGGCGCAGTTCTCCAAGGTCAGTACAGGTGTGTCTCTTCAGAAGCTCTGCCTTCACGGAGGCCAGTGCGTCCCTGTCTGCTGTGGCAAAGACCAGGTCGTCGACGTAAACAAGGATATAGAACGGAGTCTGGCCAGCACGAACGAAGAGTGAAGGGTCTGCGGAAGACGGAAAGAACTGCAGGTCAGCAAGGGTAGCACGAAGAGTGTCGTGCCACTCACGAGGAGCCTGGCGCAGGCCGTAGACGGGGCGCCGCAGGAGCCACTGGGTACCAGGAGGGAAGGTGCCAGTAAAGCCCGGAGGGCGACGCAGATAGACCTGCTCGTGTAGGCTGCCCTGAAGGAAGGCAGTGGAGAAGTCGAGGGAGTGAAGCTCGTAGTCACGCTGAGCCGCTAGGTGTAACAGAACCCGAAGAGTAGTCATCTTCGGGGTCGGAGCGAAGGTCTGGAAGAAGTCCACCCCCTCGCGCTGACTGAAGCCTCTAGCCACATAGCGCGCCTTGAAGACCGGCGGCTCTCCAGGAGGGCGCTTCACCTTGAAGAGCCAGCGGCCATTGACTACGTTCACCCCAGGTTGGGGAGCTGCGTCGACGAAGGTGCCGGTGGATCTCCAAGATGCCATCTCCTGCTCCATGGCAGCTATCCACTGTGAGGCCCAGGGTCCCGAGGTCGCCTCAGCGTAAGTGCGAGGGGTCGGGATGTCGAAAGCGTCTGGGTCACCCTCAGGGACTAGCAGCATGGAACAGAGATGGGGAGCAGCCTCGGAGAGGAAAGCAAGCTCGAACTGGCGGTCCTCCAGGACGTCACTGCCAAGGGCAGGAGCACCCCCGACAGACGGAGGACAGGCAGGGTCAGAGACCAGAGCGGTGGCGTAGTCAAGGCGGCGGGTAGAGGCGAAGTCAGCGACAAGAGCGTCAAGGCAGGAGACCGGAACAGACGGGTCGGTAACGAGAGAGGCAAGGACCCGAGGAACGAGAGGACGAGCGCCACGGAGGTAGTCGGACAGCGGGGGGGGCGCAACAACAAGGGAGAACGGAGGAGGCGACGGGAGAAGGGGAGGACGAGACGCGTGGGAACGAAGCAACATAGGGTGGGAGCACAAGACAGGCGAGGCAGGACGAGCACGGGAGGGACGGTGAGACCAGACGTGGGACGGAGGAGTCGGGTCAGGAGACAGGGGAGGGGACAGAGGAGGGGAACAAGGGGGGAGACGGGCCGGGGACGAGTCCGGCGGAGGGAAAACAGGGCCGTAGACAGGAAGAGGAGGAGACAGTCGGGGAGGAACCGACGCAGGGTCGGGGGACGGAAGGCCGAGCAGGCGAAGGGCGGACACCGGTGGGGACTGCTGCTGCGGCGGCACAACGGCAACACCTGGACCGCAAGCTGCTCCTCGGCTACCACCGGCACGCTCCACACCCGCACCCCCAGAGGGACCACCCTCAGGGCGACCGGGACGAGCACCCCCAGAGTCAGCGAACGGGTGCTGCGACGGCGGCGGCGGCGGTGGCGGCGGCGGCGGCGGCGGCGGCAGCGACAACGACGGCTGCAGCGGCGGCAAAGGCGGTGGAGGAGGGGACTGGGAAGGGGACGCCAGGGGAGGGGCGGCCGGCGAGGACTGCACAGGAGGGCCACCAGAGTCAGAAGACTCCCCAGCCGGGTCCACCGACGGAAGGGGGGTGACGTGGGACACACCAGAGGGGGCGGGACGGGGAGGAGGAGGAGGAGGGGTAGGGACTACCGGGGAAGGAGTGACCAGGAACAGGGGGGGGGTAACCGGGGGACCACGGTGGGGGAAGCGACGGTAGTAGGAGACGGACTCGTCAAAGGTGACGTCACGAGAGTGAAAGAAGCGGTGCGACGGCGGGTGGTAAAAGTGCCAGTCGGACGCGTCAAGGGGAAAACCGAGGAAGACGCAGGGAAGGGTGCGGGCAGTGAGCTTGTCCGTGCCGGAGGCACGGACGTGAGCAAGGCAGCCCCAGACGTGGAACGCAGACGCGTCACCAGGAGACCCAGTCCAAAGACGGGTCGGCGAAACCTGCAACTGCTGAGGGTGCGGCCACAAGTTAAGCTGGTGAGAAGCGTAGCGCACAGCGAACGGCCACAGAAAATGGGGTGCACCGGCATGGATCATGGAGGTGCGAGCCACCTCCATGACCAAACCGATGCGTCGCTCAGCGACCCCATTCTGCTGTGGGGAGTCTGGTAGGGTGAACGTCTGGGTGATGCCCTACGCACGACAGAAGCGACCAAGGACACCTGAGGCAAACTCGCCACCACGGTCTGAGTGAAGACACAGGACAGGGAGACCGCGGTGGACATGCGCAGAGACAAGCCAGGGGATGAGAGCGCCAGGCACGTCGGCCTTGCGCTCCAGGGGAAAGACTGTGGTGTAACGAGTGAAGTCGTCGACGAGCACAAGGAAGTAGCGCTCTCGACGCGGCCCAGGGACAGGGGCGGGGCCCCAGACGTCCAGGTGCAGGGTCTGCAGCGGCGCGGAGGTAGGGGGAAACGAGGAGGAGTGAGGGGTACAGCGAAGTCGACCCTCGACACAAGGCGTGCAAGGGGGGGCTGGGGAGGAGGGAAACACGGGGAGAGAACCTGGGAGACCAAGGACAAGACCGTGCTGGGACATGTGACGCAGACGCGGGAGCGCAGGGTGACCTAGGCGGTGGTGCCAGAGGAGCGTCGGGTGAGTGAGGGACCGACAGGAGCAGGCAGCAGCAACCTGAGTAGACGCAGCCACCTGAGGGAGCGCCCCAGCCGGGGGGGTCACGGTGTCCAGAGTGAACAGGCCAGACACCGGGTCCCGGGGGAACGTGGACAGGGGGGCACCGGTGGCGGCCTCGGTA